CACCATAAGCTTACCAATAATGTAAAGTAAAGGTTACATTATTAAAAATATGTTTTCTCTGGTCATAAAGTTTATTTTCCTAAATGATGTTTCTTTAAGAATGTGGAGTTTTATGTTACAGTACTACATTACTGCAGCAAAAACTCACCATCATAACAGATGAAGGGTTTTCTTTCATCACAGTTCTCATTCTTCCATCTGCCTCCATCATCAAACACATTCATGGCACATTGAGTTCTGTTGAGTTTCTGATTATTAAAGTGTAGATTCCAGTGTCTGAAAGAGAAACTGCTTCCATCTGACCACCTCCAGGTGTCTCTGAACAGACCAATAAATGATTTACTCTCTGTAGTCTTCATCACTTCCTTCACTTCTTCATCCTGTAGTTGCTTCGTTCCACTGATCAGGTCTGTGTGTTTTTCTCTGCAGTAACTCTGAGCTTCCAGCCAGGACTTCTTCTCTCTAATCAGGTGATATTTATGGGTTTTATTAGTTTCTGTGGAGTGAACAGATCTGATTATCTTTACATGACTTTTGAGAAGTATCTTCAGAAAAAACATTTAATAAAGAAGCTCAATATTTTTCCTTTATTTTTTGTAAATATTAAGTTGATATGATTGATTCGATTTAGTTAGTTTTGTTATATGAGTTCTAATTTACAACATGAAACGTCTATGTCATGTGAAAAAAAGAAATTCTACACAAAACATGATATTTCTTGGATGTGTCAAGTTATGTGGGGCTGTAAAAAACACATGGAAAATTACATTCATTAGTGGAGGTCTTATAATAAAAATATTTATATTAAATTACAAAATTTTTTCCATGAATGTGAAAAGTTTCTTAACAGGTTTTATTATCAAAGATAAATGAAATTTTGATAATAAAAATGTTAAGCTTGTTCTCCGTCCATATGTGTGTGCATTTGTAGATTTGAAGAAAAAAAAAGATGTTTACATACTCTACATATATTTTAAAGGAAAAATGATATTTCAAACAAAAGACTTCAATCTTACCATCGTAGCAGAGGAAAAAAGAAGGACATCTACAGTCAACATTCAACCAACTGGCATCGTGCAACAACATTCCACAGTTGAAATACCAGTAATCCAAGCAATGCTTGTTATCTTTTGGTTCTCCTTTGATCCATTTTGTCTCACTTTCATTGAACTCCAGTCCAGGCAGAGACCAGTACCATGTTCTGTTATCATGTGTTTGATCATACAGACCAATCCAAGCTTCTCTCTTATTTCCATCTGAGATGTTGATGAGTCTCTTCATGTCCTTCATGTTAGTCACTGTGACCAGGTCAGTGTGTTTCTCTCTGCAGTACTGCTGAGCTTCAGTCCAGGTTTTATTCTCTTTAATGTAGTGAAACTCATAGAGCTGACAGTCAATGAAGCAACACTGACCTGTAAACAAAAAACATGATTCTGTATTTAGTCCAAAAAGACTGCTAGATTAAGACTTTTTGTCTTTGCAAAACCAAAACAAATGTTCTGATTCTAATTTCTGTGTGAAATGTCGTCCAGATCTCCTCAGGATTTAACTATCAGTAACTTAACAGAAACCAGAGAGTCTAGTTGTGTTTCAGATCAACTCACCCATCAGGAAGAGCAGAATCAGACTCCACTGCATCTTTGCTGTCAGATGAATTATTTTCCTCCAGCAGTTTGTCTCTGTTTGGATGAAGAACATTGAAACAGTGAAAAGCTGCAGCTCTCCCTCCACTGGCAGAGAAACCATGAGAGACCAAGACAGACAGGAAACAGAATCGACAGAAAAACTGTGTAACTTTTTCTTAACTCAAATGTGCTGACATAAAAATTATGTAAGAATATAATTAAAAGAACATTTCTATTAAACTTACATTTATTTTGGTCTCTCAGTGAATGAGTTCTCTTGATGCTCTTCTTGAAACTGTCCGAGGTGAACTGTTGGGAGCCTGCTTTCCCACATCTCTAAATAGGAACTGAATTTTACTGTTTCATATTTAAATATTCAAAGCAGAGCAGGAACATGTTTCACAAGAAAACCCTTTAAAAACTATGAAGAGGAAGGAAAAATATTTACATCCAACCAAATCTAGCCTGGGAAAATAACCAGGAAAAACTTAGACTGTCTTTTTTCATCATTGCGTGCTAAGCTGTCACATCATTGTTTGTAGTTTATCTCTTATAGTTTCTGCTTTCCTCTCTAATAATGTGTTATAGATTTCAGAACAAAATGATCAATGTGTGAGGAAAGCAACTCCAGTAAAAGATTATTTTCTCTTGCAGCGTCAAGAGTTTCGAACAAGAAATCCAGGAAAAAGCAGGAATAATCAGTTTTGCTTCACATTGAATTTAGACAAATTTCTCATATCTGTCCATTGAAAGAGTTAGTTTCTCCTCACTGTTTGATTACCGTTATTATCCTTCTTTAATGTACTTCTGGTTCAAGAACCAGCTTTTCAAAGATTCAGATTTGGATTCAAGATGATAATGATGTGCTTTCAGATCAAAGTGGAAGGAAAGCAACTACAGTATAAAAGCTGATCTTTATTTCAGCCGAAAATTTTATGTCAAGAGCTTCAAACAGGAAATCGAGAAACAACAACCAGTTTTGTTCACACTGAATTCAGATGAATTGCTCCTACCTGTCAATTGAGTCAGTTTCTACTCACTGTTTGATTCATACAATTATCTTGCTTCGTGAATTCTGTGCCACTCCAGAAAACAGTTTCTGTCCACCATGACATAGAGGGGCACATCACATCCTAACCCTATAGTCTAAATCAGCAGCGTGCACTTCAGCATAATGCTGCTGCAGAATGGTGATGGTGTTATACGCCCAAAGTCCTGAATGGCCGGCTGATCATGGTCGTTCCGCGACACATTCTTGAGGTGATGTGTCGCCTTCAGCAGTCTGTGCAGGTCTCTCTGACTTTGGCCGCAAAGAGCGGGTCATCAGACGGCTGTTGCAGTTGGGCCCATGATTCCATACCTGGAGTACGTACCGCTGCCGGTATGGCTGGAGCAGTTCTGCGGGGGATGGGAGCTTCTGCCACGGTTTGAGGGGCGATCCCGGGTCACGGAGGCGTAGTTTTGTCTCCGGTGCAGTGGCAGAGGGTCCCTGGTGTTTGGTGCGCCCCGGTGCGTGAAGCGTTTCTGGACCTCTGGCTGCCAGTTGCGCCGTCTGCCTCGGCGGTGTTGGACCGTTGTCCACCCCTCCTCTGGGTCCGGGTAAAAGTCCCAAGCCATCGGGCGGAAAATTTCAAATAAAAAAACTATAAAGCTATTTAAATGAAACTGACTGTAAAAAAAAAAGTTGTGTACGTGAACTGAATAAAAAACGTAAAAAACTGAACTTTCGACACTTGAAAGCGAACAAATTAAACAGAAATAGTAAACAAAATGCAAATCAGTAAACAAATCACTACATACAGAGAGCAACAGTGCTCCTAACCTAGTCCTAACCCCGCATCCACTTCCATGGAGTGCTGTGCCGTTTTTGGTGCTGCAAGCAGTGCTAGCATTTCAGTCTGCCTTTGCTGGCTTTTTGTGCAGAACCTGTGGCTGTGGAAATTCCCACAGGAACATGGTCTGCTCTCCTCCTCTGAGAATTGCCTTCCTTGCTCATGCCACAAAGCTGATACATGAACTCCACCATGACGTCTTTGTGCGTCATGGTCTGTGTAGTCGTATCGTGTCAGTCTTATTCTGACCCCTTCAAATAAAGTGTTGCTGAATTTAGTTTAGGCACCCCAATAACCTTTCCAACCTTTCGAGATACTTGAGCATTAATTGTCTTCACGCCCATGAAAACAATAAGAGCAGGATACAAAAAGCAAGACAGCTTTAGACAGTAAAAGCAAAAGGCATCTAAATACAGAAAGACAAGAAGAATGCTGACATGTACATCTCAATGGAGCACAAGAAAGAAAGAAATTGAAGAAATAGGGGAAGGTGTGACATACCTATGCAATCAGGGAAAGCATCATGGAAGAACAATATAATAAAATAATTTATATTGCTATTTTAATCCTGTATTTGTACTATGAAGTATTTATTTTTCATTTAGCTTTACCAGTTTTGATTTTTTTTTTTTTTTTTTGCATTTTCCCATTCAAAAGCTCAGAAGTGCAGCTGCTGAGGCAGCAGTGAGCTGAGCCTCACCTGGATTGATCAACCTGTCAAACTGCACTGGTTGCCCCTCGATCAGAGCATGTTCCTCCTTTCTGCACGCCAATAAAATGGTTAAAAAAAATTTAATATATAAACTGATTTTCATCATTTAGCTGCTAATGTGCAGTGTTTTTTGTCACCAACTGTGTGTATTTGTGTATCTTGGCCGACACAGAGAGCGAGAAAAAGGTGGCTTTGAGCACTTCAGCAGATCTTTTGCTGTGCAGCACATAATATCTATTTTTCCAAGTTTCATTGAGTTAATGGAATGATTCTACCATGGCAGCGCACCTATGGATGACGTGAAAGTACAGTCTTTTTGCCCTTCAATGTTGTCCGCATGCATGAAATTTCCACATGTGAACAATAACATGCAGTAAATCTCCAGCCATGAACTTCACCACACATCACTGTAACAGACCCTGAGGAATAGGGGAAAAGATGCGTTAATGTCTTAAACATCCCCTCACTCGGTATTTGTAGACGTGGCAAACACAGACCGAACATCTTCGCTCACTTCCTCTGCTATCTTTTCCAAACAACAATTTTAAAATAGCAGAAAATCAACATCATTCACAATTCCTTTTGTGTGATGATTGCCGATCTCTTCGTTTTTCATATAATGTTTTAATTAATCAGAAGCACCACGTTTACATCACTTTGTGTTATTCCCAAAGAGTCTTGGCAACACTTTTCATTTTGTTTCAAATATTTTTTATTTGAGAGCAGAAAACCCATTAAATATCCCAAATAGCTTAGAAGATTGAGACACTCACAAGAGCTTGCCGTCAAGAAGAAAAATGTTGGGGTTTAAAATGTAAAAAGTATTTCTTTTTTGTTTTTTTCGTTTAAGAGTTTGCTTCAGTCAGAGCTTTTAAACCCAGTTACACATGCAACATGTTTTTGTGTGTGTGTGTTGAGAAGAAGTACGGCTGACAGGATAGCTGACAAGTGTAAGACTTAATACCGAAGCAATGTTTTTGTTTTTTTTCCCAAGATTTATTAAGTATATTTTACTTTTTTCTTTAATGTCACAACATTTCATCAGCACACTTTCACAACTACTGCATCTTTTGCAGGAAATAAAATTTATGCACACATGAAAAACCATAAAGAAAAAGAAATATAAAAGATTTTATAAAAAAGAAATATTTTACAAAAAATTGTTTAAAGTCTGAAGCCATTTTTCATTTTCTGTATTATGTAATTTCTTGCCAAAATGAAATCTCTACATTTTTAGCCATTTATATAAACCAGCAACTTTATGAAAAGAAGCATAAAGGGGGGAACGCTGTTGGCAAGAGAAGAGAGAGTTAATATTTAGTACAGAAGAAGTTAAATCTCTCGCTGCCGTTTCTTTGGAACCACCGATGCTCTCCTCCTGCCTGCATGGCTCCAAACATGTTGCACTCATCACTCTGACCGTCCCAGACCCAGTTATCACAAACCCAGAACCAAACATTCATCCTGCAGTAGAAACGCAGTCCAATCCAGACAAAAGGAGTCGATGCGTTCTTGGTTTTTTCCTGGGCCTGTTTCTGTTCATCCATGTTGGTGATGGTGACCAGGTCATGGTGGTTCTGTCTGCAGTGGTTCAAGGCCTCATGCCAAGTTTTATTTTCCTTGATCAGGATCAATTTATCTGGCATGAAAATACATAAAATATAAAGAATAAAACTATCAGTCTTCAATCAGAATTAATGCAACAAAAAAGGAGTTTCAAAAGTATTAACAATTAAGAGCCTTTATTTAACTAAATACATGTAATAATGACTGTTATTAGTTGAACCACACTAACCTGGCAGTGAAGTTTATATTCTTGAAACATTTTACTAAGAATGTAGTTTTATTGTTACACATACTGATATTTTTTGAATACTCACCATCTGAATAACAGATGAAGGGTTTTCTTTCAGTGCAGTTCTCATTTCTCCATCTGCCTCCATCATCAAACACAGTCATGGCACATTGACCACTATTGATTATCTCATTATTAAACTGTAGATTCCAGTGTCTGAAGGAGAAACTGCTTCCATCTGACCACCTCCAAGTGTCTCTGAACAGACCAATATATATTGGTCTAAAGTTTTTTATTTTTTTCAGACTATTATACGTATGTAAATATTTATCTAGTGACATGTTGTAGAAAGTCATATTCAATGCAGCCTGTAGTTGCTTCGTTCCACTGATCAGGTCTGTGTGTTTCTCTCTGCAGTAACTCTGAGCTTCCAGCCAGGTCTTCCTTTCTTCAATCAGGTGATATTTATGGGTTGTGTTGGTTTCTGTAGAGTGAACAGATCTGATTATCTTTACATGACTTCTGAGAAATATCCTCAGAAAAAAAACATTTAATAAAGAAGCTCAATAGTTTTTCTTTATTTTTTGTAAATATTAAGTTGATATGATTGATTCGGTTTCGTTACTTTTGTTATATGAGTTCTGATTTAAAACTTGAAACGTCTATGACTTGTTAAAAAAAATTTCTAAACAAAACATATTTCTTGGATGTGTCAAGTTATTTGGGGCTATTAGAAAACATGGAAAATTTCATTTCATTAGTGGAGGTCTTTAATAAATAATATTTATATTAGATTACAACATTTTTTTCATAAATGTGAAATCTTCTTAACAGGTTTTGTTATCAAAGATAAATAAAATTTTGATAATAAAAATGTTAAGTTTGTTCTCCGTCCATATGTGTGTGCATTTGTAGATTTAAAAAAAAAGATGTTTACATACTCTACATATATTTGAAAGGACAAATGATATTTCAAACAAAAGACTTCAATCTTACCATCGTAGCAGAGAAAAAAGGAAGAATATCTACAGTAATCAGAGAACCATGTGGCATTCAGCCCCAAAATTCCACAGTTGTAATACCAGTAATCTTGTGGTTCTCCTTTGTTCCATTTTGTCTCACTTTCATTGAACTCCAGTCCAGGCAGAGACCAGTACCATGTTCTGGTACCATTTGTTTGATCATACAGACCAATCCAAGCTTCCTTTATATCTCCATCTGAGATGTTGATGAGTCTCTTCATGTCCTTCATGTTAGTCACTGTGACCAGGTCAGTATGTTTCTCTCTGCAGTACTGCTGAGCTTCAGTCCAGGTTTTATTCTCATTAATGTAGTGAAACTCATAGAGCTGACAGTCAATGAAGCAACACTGACCTGAGAGCAATAAACAGTATGAATTAACTTGTAGTGGCAGTTTACACAGCACATGCATTACAATTACTACAATTTGTCAGTTTTATTTTACCGGTATATGAAAATATTGAATTGAAAATTGCTTTTTAAATTAGACTTTAAAATAACAGAAACCAGAGAGTCTAGTTGTGTTTCAGACCAACTTACCCATCAGAAAGAGCAGATCAGACTCCACTGCATCTTTGCTGTCAGATGAATTATTTTCCTCCAGCAGTTTGTCTCTGTTGAATGAAGAACATTGAAATACTGAAAAGCTGCAGCTCTCCCTCCACTGGACAGAGAAACCATGAGAGACCAAGACAGACAGGAAACAGAATCGACAGAAAAAACAGTGTAACTTTTTCTTAACTCAAATGTGCTGACATGAAAATAATGTAAGAATATAATTAAAAGAACATTTCTATTAAACTTACATTTATTTTGGTCTCTCAGTGAATGAGTTCTCTTCTCTTGATGCTCTTCTTGAAACTGTCCCAGGTGAACTGTTGGGATCCTGCTTTCCCACATCTCTAAATAGGAACTGAATTTTACCGTTTCATATTTAAATATTCAAAGCAGAGCAGGAACATGTTTCACAAGAAAACCCTTTAAAAACTATGAAGAGGAAGGAAAAATAATAATTACATGCATCAAAATCTAGCCTGGGAAAATAACCAGGAAAAACTTAGACTGTCTTTTTTCATCATTGCGTGCTAAGCTGTCACATCATTGTTTGTAGTTTATCTCTTATAGTTTCTGCTTTCCTCTCTAATAATGTGTTATAGATTTCAGAACAAAATGATCAATGTGTGAGGAAAGCAACTCCAGTAAAAGATTATTTTCTCTTGCAGCGTCAAGAGAAACAGATGTTAAATTGATGAAGACTAACATGACACTGAACACATTTTCAGTATAAACTGATTGTTGCTCAAACAGCATCTCTTCTTTTCTCTGTTATTCTTCCACAATACATTTTTCTGCTGGGAAACCAGGGAATAAAAACCTGCTGTGTTTTTTCCTTCCACACCAGAAAAAACCTCAAAACATTTTGTGGTTTTCTGTTTATGTTGTCATAGTGACACATTTATACAGAATTTGGAAAAAAATCTTTATTTACATCAAATTTTTATACCAAGTTCAGTTTTTTTTTTGCATTGGTGAACGTGATGAACAGAGTTAAAAACAGGAGGCATCTCAGGAGATGTTAGAAAAATAGTTTATTATTATTATTAATATATTATTTATAATAATTATTATGATTAATTAATCATAAGTAATAATTATTGTTAATAATAATGAGTTTATTACAATAAACTTATTATAATAAATACAATGGCGCTAATAATAATAATAACAATAATATTATTACTATTGATAATTATTAATATTATTATTAATAATAATTGTGGATTATTATTAAATAATAATATTATATTATAATATAACAATATTATTATTAATAAAAATAATATTAATAATCATTATATTATTATTAATAATAATTGTTATTAATAATATAATAATATTAATGAAAATTATCAATAATGATAATAATAATAATCCAAAGATTTATAAAGGACAAAATAGTCTGAGCTCATAAAAGAGATCAAAGAAACAAAAACTGTACTGATAAAAGCAAACTGGCTGCTCAAATATAACTTTAATTAAACTTTAGCTTTAATAACATAAAGCTGCATTATGTTTAAAGTTAATTTTGAAACAAATTTATATCAGATAATGATTTCTTGGTTGTCAAGTTGTCATAGCGAAGACATTTTGAATCATATCATCTTTGTATTGAAAGTGTCATGATTTACTGAATGACACTTTATGACAACAATCATAAATATTCATGAAGACTTATTCATGTTCATGGCAGGTGTTATGACAGTCTTATTCACAACCCGTCAAATAAAATGTTACCAACTTTTCTGAACAAAGAAAACACAAATTCCCCCTGCCAGCAGGAACTAGTGGTGTCGTCCAATCAGCATGCAAGCCTGCTGAGCCCTGACCAACGTCTTTGGTCTGGCAACTCCAAGGCAGGTAAGAACCAGCAAGAAACAACAAGAGTTTGTCTTACAACAAAATTAACGTTAACTTGATATAAATACATATGTTAACTAAATGTGCACGCTAACAAATAGAACAAATGGCATTTTGCCAGAATACCAACCCAGTTATGGATAACTACAGTCCAGTCAACTATCCTGACTGAAGAAAATGTTTTGTTCGTTTTTTGTGCTAAGATTAGGTGTTTTTCTTGTTGGTGTTTTTGTTTTTTTGTTTTGTTTTGGGGGTTTTTTTGGGGCTGAATCAAAATGAGTTTATTTCACAAAACTGCAACGAAAACTCTGTTTTCCCTTCACACGAGTCACATGATCAACAAGCAAATGTTACCACTGGTGGAAATGATGAATAAAACGAAAGGAAGTGTACATCGCTCTCTGATCGGCCGGGGGACCAGGGGACGGCTCCCAGGGTTGGGCCCGTCCCAGGGAGTTCCCAGGAAATGCCAGCCTGGTTCCAGTTGCCTGGCCAAACTCCAATGAGCGTCCTTCTGGGTACACTGTTCCCAGATCCTGTATCTCGTCCAGGACTTCCCTTTTGTCACCTAACCTTACGTTAGATATGTGCTCTTCAGACTTCGTGTCTGAAGAGCACATATCTAACGTAAGGTGATGGAAGTGGAGAAAGAAATGAAACAATCACAGGCTGTGATTGAAACATGTAACCGCCTCTAAAGAGGCGGTTACATGTTTAACAGTCATTTGAAGTCATCTCTGTGGTTTCCAGACAGCCAACAATTGCCTCTAATAAGCTAAAGTACCTCTCTTCATTTAGTATTTCTTGAATCACGTCAAACTTTTCATGGTGGCTCCATTCATGAGCGAGATGCATACCTTCTCCACAGTGCAATTCCCCCCACCACAACCAATCCTACCCCTACCACCGCACCAATTCCAATAGTGAGTTTCTTCAAGAAAACTACCCTCCTTCTTTTCTTCTGTAATCACTTTTGTCTCGTCCTCCACTTCATTTACTGTATCTGTGTTCACAGCATTTGATTCTCTCTTATCCTTATCTATTTCCACTTCTATTACTCTGTTCAACACACAATCAATCAAATCCTGAACTTCTTTCTTATCCTTTTCTTTTTCCACTTGCATTACTCTGTCCAACACACCGTCAAGCACATCCTGTACGTCTTTCTTATCTTTATCTTTCTTCACTTGCTCCATTACTCCATTTAAAATATCTTCTATCACAATCTGTGACTCTCTCTCTGCCTCCAATTTTATCTCATCTTGTCGTTCCATCATTTCTAATTCCTTTTCTAGTTGAAGGACTTCATTTTCTAATTCCGCAATCTGTCTTTCCAGTTCTTCTTGTGAAAGCAGTGGAGAATAATTTGATAAATCAATCATCTCAGAAATCGTTTCTAAGTAAATCTCTTTATCCATTTTTATTGTGATTCGTTGGTTTCAAAAGTAGTCTGCTGTGGAAGCTCTTCACTGACTAAATGTGTCTGTTTCGTACCAAAATTCAAGATTGAAGTATTGTGATGTAATAGAGAGCAGCGTGATGTCACAAATTGATGTCACAGCCTCAGTAGAACAAATGGCAAACTCATCAAGTTTGAATGAAAACAATCTGGGTTTTTTTTTTGTTTTGTTTTTTTTTTACCTTATTTCAAACAAATAACATGCATACAGAGGTTAACTCAACGTCATATATTCAAATATAATAAAAAAAACAAATAAAGAACAATTACAGATATTGAGGGTGTTGATGTTAAAGTCTAGAAAGACAAAAGTTAAATAAATGTAAATATGATTTCGGGAAACATGCATTTTTATTTTTTTATTTAGATTTTTTATTTACTGTCCAAGAATAAAGTGCAATTGCACCTCCACTACATTAGGGGGCAGTGGTGCTCTCATTGGCAGAGTGTGTGCAGGGAGCATTCGCTTTGTGGTGTCGGGGTTTTGTTTGCACTGATCATGCGCGCTTTGCACACAGCGCAGATTACGAGCATGACACGGAGTTTAGCAAACCCTCAAGTGACACCATAAAAAATATTTAACAGGGATGAGAAGACAGGCGGAGAGATGGAGCTAAAGAGACAAACAAAACTCTCCCGAAAGCTAAAACGAGGAAATATGATGAAGCGTATGTATCCCGCTTGACTTGAGAGGTTTTTGCTGGTGGTTGCCGTGGTAATTATATAATATGGAAATAAAAAGAAAAAACAATGGAAACACTTTTTTTCGCCATTATGCGAGTCGCATGATCAACAATCGGATGTTGCCACTGGCAGAAATGACGAAGAAGACGACAGGAAGTGGTGTTAGGATAATGGTTTGTTTTTGTTTTCTTGTTTACTTTGTATCAACAAAACTTTTGTTGATACTTTTACTTTACTTACTTTCCTTTCCTTTCAGCCATATACCTAAAAGTATAGAAAAAAAAAGCAGAATGGATTTTACTCTACTTTTTGTAGACCAGACAAAGTAACATTTGTCAAGATTTTTTTCCCTCCACTTGTGTCCTCCCGTCTCCATGGCTCCAGACACATCACAGTCGTCCATCCGTCCAGTTCTCCTATCTGACCTCCTCATGACTGACCCAGTAAGAGAAATGTAGAGTCCAGGTGCAACGCAGTCCAATCCAGACATGACCAGTTGATTAATTATGAACTTTCTCCTGGATTCATCTCTGATCATTGATGTTGATGCTGGCGACTCGCCACATTTTATTTTATTTTTCCAGTTTTTAATTTGCCAATTTTGTTTCACATTACGTTTAGCTGAATTGTTAATTTATCTGTTTAAGACCTGGTCAATCCACCAGCGGGTTGACATATCACACGTTTTAGTGCAGCAGCTAAACAACATGAATCACAGACTTTGATGTACTTTTCAGAAATCTGTCATTCATGGAGAAAACAGCGATTTGGAGGCTTTGGAAGATGTTTTCTGGACCACATGGAGCGATTCTGTGGAATGATTCAAGTTGATCAGAAAGTTATCTTATTTTATAGCATCTTTAGAAAACATGTCGAGCATCTTGGCCATATTTGATATCACCTGTTGCAGAGAAAATATAAACAACAAGAGCGCCCCCTACCAGGCAGGAACGTTCAGCTTTGAGACAAAAGTGAATCTTCATTTTTAACTTTTTTTTTTGTTGTTGTTGAGAAATGAGGTTCACTTAACAGCGACTATTTCTGTGTTTTAGGGAGTGAATTTGATACTTGTATTTTCAAATTATGTAGATTTTGGGATTTGTTTGCGAAAACTATGACATATAGAAATGTAATGTTTGTAGAAATTGTAATTGTGTGCGAGCGCTTTTATTTTGTATTCATAATTTCTTAATAATTGTGTGCGCATTTGACCAATTATGTAAGAGTACAAAGAGTTACACATCTTTTTTTTTTTTACGGTTTACAAATCTTTACACACTTTGGATCGTTGTATGGATTATTTTCTCTCCTTAGATATTAAACCTGTTTTGTTCTGTTTACAAAATACAAACTGTCTGAACGTTAAGAGCGACAACTGAGTTTTCTGCTAAGAAGAGTTTCTTCCACCTGTCTAAATATATTGTTACGTCCACTGGGTTCGTTTATTGGGGTAACATTAAAGGAGAACACACAAGGATTTTCTAAGAAAATAATTTTATTAAATTATGCTAAAGAAATCAAACCTGAGAAGGGAATACCTGAAATGAGAAACCAAAATAGATTAACGCAAAAATATAAGTAATCAAAGTTAAGCAAAAGCCAAAACAACCCTAAAAAACAAACCATAGGACACAAACCAAACCAAATCGGGTTCTGAGGAGAGAGAGGGAAAAAGCCTCCTGATGCTCATGGCAGCTTCAATCAGGCCAAACAGCAACACCTGCCTGGAGCCATGATATTAGTTTCTACTTTAAAATTACATTTCAATAGTTTATACAGCCAAATAAACAATATTCACTTTGGAAAATGCAAACTCATGTCACCAGAGAGCAGAGTGAACTTTAACCCTTAGAACAAATGAAGTTCAGTTCCTCTGTGTCGTTTCTTTGGAACCATCTGTGTTCTCCTCCAGCCTGCATGGCTCCAGACGTGTTGCAGTCGTTCATCCATCCTGCCGAGGTCGAGTTCTTATAGCCGATCATCTTACAGACCCAGAACCAGACGTTCTTGAAGCAGTTGAAGCGCAGACCCAACCAGACGAAAGGAGTCGATGCCTTCTTGACTTTCTCCTGGATCAATATCTGTTCATCCATGTTGGTGATGGTGACCAGGTCATCATGATGATCTCTGCAGTAGGTCAAGGCCTCATGCCAGGTTTTATTTTCTTTGATCAGGATCACTTTATCTGTAACAGAATGCGAGCACAAAGAAAAAACAATTACAAGTTTGACATCAAATATAACACAAATCATAAAAACAAAAAAAACATGCAAAGAATTAAATGAACACATTAAAAAATCCTAATTTATCTGTTGTAAGTCAAAACATCTCACCATCATAACAGATGAAGGGTTTTCTTTCATCACAGTTCTCATTCTTCCATCTGCCTCCATCATCAAACACAGTCAGGGCGCATTGACCACTATTGATTATCTGATTGTAAAACTGTAGATTCCAGTGTCTGAAAGAGAAACTGCTTCCATCTGACCACCTCCAGGAGTCTCTGAACAGACCAAAGTATGCTCTATTATCTGAAGAGTTCATCAATTTCTTCACTTCTTCATCCTGTAGTTGCTTCGTTCCACTGATCAGGTCTGTGTGATTCTCTCTGCAGTAACTTTGAGCTTCCAGCCAGGACTTCTTCTCTCTAAATCATGTGATATTATGGGTTTTATTAGTTTCTGTGGAGTGAACAGATAAAAGCACATCATAATTTATAAATCTTTTTCACGATAAGCATAAAATCAGGCTCACTGGCAATGTTTTATCCAGATACTTTCATTGGACAATCTAACAAGTTTATATTTATACTCACCATCATAGCAGAGGAAATATTGAGACCACTTGCAACCCTGATCGATCCATTTAAGATTTTGATAAAGAGTCACACAGTCCTCAGATTTTGTATCAGTCGGTTCTCCTGGGCTCCAGTTTGTCTCACTTTCATTGAACTCCAGTCCAGGCAGAGACCAGTACCATGTTCTGGTACCATTTGTTTGATCATACAGACCAATCCAAGCTTCCTTTATATCTCCATCTGACATGTTGATGAGTCTCTTCATGTCCTTCATGTTAGTCACTGTGACCAGGTCAGTGTGTTTCTCTCTGCAGTACTGCTGAGCTTCAGTCCAGGTTTTCTTCTCATTAATGTAGTGAAACTCATAGAGCTGACAGTCAATGAAGCAACTGACCTGAGAGCAATAAACAGTATGAATTAACTTGTAGTGGCAGTTTACACAGCACATGCATTACAATTACTACAATTTGTCAGTTTTATTTTACCGGTATGTGAAAATATTGAATAGAAAATTGCTTTTTAAATTACACTTTAAAATAACAGAAACCAGAGAGTCTAGTTGTGTTTCAGATCAACTCACCCATCAGGAAGAGCAGAATCAGACTCCACTGCATCTTTGCTGTCAGATGAATTATTTTCCTCCAGCAGTTTGTCTCTGTTGGATGAAGAACATTGAAACACTGAAAAGCTGCAGCTCTCCCTCCACTGGACAGAGAAACCATGAGAGACCAAGACAGACAGGAAACAGAATCGACAGAAAAAACAGTGTAACTTTTTCTTAACTCAAATGTGCTGACATAAAAATAATGTAAGAATATAATTAAAAGAACATTTCTATTAAACTTACGTTTATTTTGGTCTCTCAGTGAATGAGTTCTCTTCTCTTGATGCTCTTCTTGAAACTGTCCCAGGTGAACTGTTGGGATCCTGCTTTCCCACATCTCTAAATAGGAACTGAATTTTACCGTTTCATATTTAAATATTCAAAGCAGAGCAGGAACATGTTTCACAAGAAAACCCTTTAAAAACTATGAAGAGGAAGTAAAAATAATAATTACATGCATCAAAATCTAGCCTGGGAAAATAACCAGGAAAAACTTAGACTGTCTTTTTTCACCATTGCTTGCTAAGCTGTCACATCATTGTTTGTAGTTTATCTCTTATAGTTTCTGCTTTCCTCTCTAATAATGTGTTATAGATTTCAGAACAAAATGATCAATGTGTGAGGAAAGCAACTCCAGTAAAAGATTATTTTCTCTTGCAGCGTCAAGAGAAACAGATGTTAAATTGATGAAGACTAACATGACACTGAACACATTTTCAGTATAAACTGATTGTTGCTCAAACAGCATCTCTTCTTTTCTCTGTTATTCTTCCACAATACATTTTTCTGCTGGGAAACCAGGGAATAAAACCTGCTGTTTTTTCCTTCCACACCAGAAAAAACCTCAAAACAATTTGTGGTTTTCTGTTTATGTTGTCATAGTGACACATTTATACAGAATTTGGAAAAAAATCTTTATTTACATCAAATTTTTATACCAAGTTCAGTTTTTTTTTTTTTTTTCATTGGTGAACGTGATGAACACAGTTAAAAACAGGAGGCATCTCAGGAGACGTTAGAAAAATAGTTTATTATTATTATTAATAATATTATTTATAATAATTATTATGATTAATTAATCATAAGTAATAATTATTGTTAATAATAATGAGTTTATTACAATAAACTTATTATAATAAATACAATGGCGCTAATAATAATAATAACAATAATATTATTACTATTGATAATTATTAATATTATTATTAATAATAATTGTGAATTATTATTATAAATAATAATATTATATTATAATATAACAATATTATTATTAATAAAAATAATATTAATAATCATTATATTATTATTAATAATAATTGTTATTAATAATATAATAATATTAATGAAAATTATCAATAATGATAATAATAATAATCCAAAGATTTATAAAGGACAAAATAGTCTGAGCTCATAAAAGAGATCAAAGAAACAAAAACTGTACTGAAAAAAAGCAAACTGGCTGCTCAAATATAACTTTAATTAAACTTCAGCTTTAATAACATAAAGCTACATTATTTTTAAAGTTAATTTTGAAACAAATTTATGTCAGATAATGATTTCTTGGTTGTCAAGTTGTCATAGCGACGACATTTGAATCATATCAACTTTGTATTGAAAGTGTCATAATTTACTGAATGACACTTTATGACAACAATCATAAATATTCATGAAGACTTATTCATGTTCATGGCAGGTGTTATGACAGTCTTATTCACAACCCGTCAAATAAAATGTTACCAACTTTTCTGAACAAAGAAAACACAAATTCCCCCTGCCAGCAGGAACTAGTGGTGTCGTCCAATCAGCATGCAAGCCTGCTGAGCCCTGACCAACGTCTTTGGTCCAACTCCAAGGCAGGTAAGAACCAGCAAGAAACAACAAGAGTTTGTCTTACAACAAAATTAACGTTAACTTGATATAAATACATATGTTAACTAAATGTGCACGCTAACAAATAGAACAAATGGCATTTTGCCAGAATACCAACCCAGTTATGGATAACTACAGTCCAGTCAACTATCCTGACTGAAGAAAATGTTTTGTTCGTTTTTTGTGCTAAGATTAGGTGTTTTTCTTGTTGGTGTTTTTGTTTTTTTGTTTTGCTTTGGGGGTTTTTTTGGGGCTGAATAAAAATGAGTTTATTTCACAAAACTGCAACGAAAACTCTGTTTTCCCTTCACACGAGTCACATGATCAACAAGCAAATGTTACTACTGGTGGAAATGACGAATAAAACGAAAGGAAGTGTACATCGCTCTCTGATCTCGGCCGAGGGACCAGGGGACGGCTCCCAGGGTTGGGCCCCGTCCCAGGGAGTTCCCAGGAAATGCCCAGCCTGGTGCCAGTTGCCTGGCCAAACTCCAATGAGCGTCCTTCTGGGTACACTGTTCCCAGATCCTGTATCTCGTCCAGGACTTCCCTTTTGTCACCTAACCTTACGTTAGATATGTGCTCTTCAGACTTCGTGTCTGAAGAGCACATATCTAACGTAAGGTGATGGAAGTGGAGAAAGAAATGAAACAATCACAGGCTGTGATTGAAACATGTAACCGCCTCTAAAGAGGCGGTTACATGTTTAACAGTCATTTGAAGTCATCTCTGTGGTTTCCAGACAGCCAACAATTGCCTCTAATAAGCTAAAGTACTTCTCTTCATTTAGTATTTCTTGAATCACGTCAAACTTTTCATGGTGGCTCCATTCATGAGCGAGATGCATACCTTCTCCACAGTGCAATTCCCCCCACCACAACCAATCCTACCCCTACCACCGCACCAATTCCAATAGTGAGTTTCTTCAAGAAACTACCCTCCTTCTTTTCTTCTGTAATCACTTTTGTCTCGTCCTCCACTTCATTTACTGTATCTGTGTTCACAGCATTTGATTCTCTCTTATCCTTATCTATTTCCACTTCTATTACTCTGTTTAACACACCATCAATCAAATCCTGAACTTCTTTCTTATGATGTTCTTTTTCCACTTCTATTACTCTGTTTAACACACCATCAATCAAATCCTGAACTTCTTTCTTATCCTTATCTTTTCCACTTGCATTACTCTGTCCAACACACCGTCAAGCACATCCTGTACGTCTTTCTTATCTTTATCTTTCTTCACTTGCTCCATTACTCCATTTAAAATATCTTCTATCACAATCTGTGACTCTCTCTCTGCCTCCAATTTTATCTCATCTTGTCGTTCCATCATTTCTAATTCCTTCTCTAGTTGAAGGACTTCATTTTCTAATTCCGCAATCTGTCTATCCAGTTTCTTCTTGTGAAAGCAGTGGAGAATAATTTGATAAATCAATTATCTCAGAAATCGTTTCTAAGTAAATCTCTTTATCCATTTTTATTGTGATTCGTTGGTTTCAAAAGTAGTCTGCTGTGGAAGCTCTTCACTGACTAAATGTGTTTGTTTCGTACCAAAATTCAAGATTGAAGTATTGTGATGTAATAGAGAGCAGCGTGATGTCACAAATTGATGTCACAGCCTCAGTAGAACAAATGGTAAACTCATCAAGTTTGAATGAAAACAATCTGGGTTTTTTTTTTGTTTTGTTTTTTTTTTACCTTATTTCAAACAAATAACATGCATACAGAGGTTAACTCAACGTCATATATTCAAATATAATGAAAACAAATAAAGAACAATTACAGATATTGAGAGTGTTGATGTTAAAGTCTAGAAAGACAAAAGTTAAATAAATGTAAATATGATTTCGGGAAACATGCATTTTTATTTTTTTATTTAGATTTTTTATTTACTGTCCAAGAATAAAGTGCAATTGCACCTCCACTACATTAGGGGGCAGTGGCGCTCTCAGGGAGCATTCTCTCGGTGGTGTCGGGGTTTTGTTTGCACTGAGCATGCGCGCTTTGCACACAGCGCAGATTACGAGCACGAAGTGCAGACATGAAGTTTAGCAAACCCTCAAGTGACACCATGAAAAAATATTTAACAGGGATGAGAAGACAGGCGGAGAGATGGAGCTAAAGAGACAAACAAAACTCTCCCGAAAGCTAAAACGAGGAAATATGATGAAGCGTATGTATCCCGCTTGACTTGAGAGGTTTTTGCTGGTGGTTGCCGTGGTGTTTATATAATATGAAAATAAAAAGAAAATCCAATGGAAACACTTTTTTTTGCCATCATGCGAGTCGCATGATCAACAATCGGATGTTGCCACTGGCAGAAATGACGAAGAAGACGACAGGAAGTGGTGTTAGGATAATGGTTTGTTTTTGTTTTCTTGTTTACTTTGTATCAACAAAACTTTTGTTGATACTTTTACTTTACTTACTTTCCTTTCCTTTCAGCCATATACCTAAAAGTATAGAAAAAAAAGCAGAATGGATTTTACTCTACTTTTTGTAGACCAGACAAAGTAACATTTGTCAAGATATTTTTTTTCCCTCCACTTGTGTCCTTCCCGTCTCCATGGCTCCAGACACGTCACAGTCCTCCATCCGTCCATTTCTTCTATCTGACCTCCTCATGACTGACCCAGTAAGAGAAATGTAGAGTCCAGGTGCAACGCAGTCCAATCCAGACATGACCAGTTGATTAATTATGAACTTTCTCCTGGATTCATCTCTGATCATTCATGTTGATGCTGGCGACTCGCCACATTTTATTTTTTATTTTTCCAGTTTTTAATTTGCCAATTTTGTTTCACATTACGTTTAGCTGAATTGTTAATTTATCTGTTTAAGACCTGGTCAATCCACCAGCGGGTTGACATATCACACGTTTTAGTGCAGCAGCTAAACAACATGAATCACAGACTTTGATGTACTTTTCAGAAATCTGTCATTCATGGAGAAAACAGCGATTTGGAGGCTTTGGAAGATGTTTTCTGGACCAGATGGAGCGATTCTGTGGAATGATTCAAGTTGATCAGAAAGTTATCTTATTTTATAGCATCTTTAGAAAACATGTCGAGCATCTTGGCCATATTTGATATCACCTGTTGCAGAGAAAATATAAACAACAAGAGCGCCCCCTACCAGGCAGGAACGTTCAGCTTTGAGACAAAAGTGAATCTTCATTTTTAACTTTTTTTTGTGTTTGTTGAGAAATGACGTTCACTTAACAGCGACTATTTCTGTGTTTTAGGGAGTGAATTTGATACTTGTATTTTCAAATTATGTAGATTTTGGGATTTGTTTGCGAAAACTATGACATATAGAAATGTAATGTTTGTAGAAATTGTAATTGTGTGCGAGCGCTTTTATTTTGTATTCATAATTTCTTAATAATTGTGTGCGCATTTGACCAATTATGTAAGAGTACAAAGAGTTACACATCTTTTTTTTTTTTACGGTTTACAAATCTTTACACACTTTGGATCGTTGTATGGATTATTTTCTCTCCTTAGATATTAAACCTGTTTTGTTCTGTTTACAAAATACAAACTGTCTGAACATTAAAGAGCGACAACTGAGTTTTCTGCTAAGAAGAGTTTCTTCCACCTGTCTAAATATATTGTTACGTCCACTGGGTTCGTTTATTGGGGTAACATTAAAGGAGAACACACAAGGATTTTCTAAGAAAATAATTTTTATTAAATTATGCTAAAGAAATCAAACCTGAGAAGGGAATACCTGAAATGAGAAACCAAAATAGATTAACGCAAAAATATAAGTAATCAAAGTTAAGCAAAAGCCAAAACAACCCTAAAAAAAACAACCATAGGACACAAACCAAACCAAATCGGGTTCTGAGGAGAGAGAGGGAAAAAGCCTCCTGATGCTCATGGCAGCTTCAATCAGGCCAAACAGCAACACCTGCCTGGAGCCATGATATTAGTTTCTACTTTGAAATTACATTTCAATAGTTTATACAGCCAAATAAACAAATATTCACTTTGGAAAATGCAAACTCATGTCACCAGAGAGCAGAGTGAACTTTAACCCTTAGAACAAATGAAGTTCAGTTCCTCTGTGTCGTTTCTTTGGAACCATCTGTGTTCTCCTCCAGCCTGCATGGCTCCAGACGTGTTGCAGTCGTTCATCCATCCTGCCGAGGTCGAGTTCTTATAGCCGATCATCTCCTTACAAACCCAGAACCAGACGTTCTTCAAGCAGTTGAAGCGCAGACCCAACCACACGAAAGGATTCGATGCCTTCTGACTTCTCCTGGATCCATATCTGTTCATCCATGTTGGTGATGGTGACCAGGTCATCATGATGATCTTTGCAGTAGGTCAAGGCCTCATGCCAGGTTTTATTTTCTTTGATCAGGATCACTTTATCTGTAACAGAATGCGAGCACAAAGTGTGAGGGATTTACCCCTCCCCTAAAAGGTGATTTTTGTGCTGCTATATTCCAATTTATTTATTAACTATTTTGTTTGGAGGAAGCAACTTGCTTTGTTTGGTGTTGTTTTAATCATTTTTCTTCTCTTTGAGGTCACCTGGTCAGGTGTTGCCATGGAAGCGCGCCCATGAGCAGTGCTGACAAGGACCTGATGTTTTTCAATCAACCTCAGAATCTATTGTTTGAGAGAGAGGGAGATGTTTTTGGATTTAATTTGGGGCCCAGATTGTTTTTGTTTTAGTTTGAAGGTTGTTAGTTGAAATGTAAATTTCTTTCCAGGAATATAGTGTAGTACAAATGTTGTTTTCACTTGTAAGTGTTGACTCCACCCCTTAATTAGTCAAGGAAGAGCCAATGCTTTAAAAGGCAGGTGTGTTAGATCAGAAGGCTCTCTCCCTCTTGTGTGAACCTGTCATGATGTAACTGGATGGAAATGTTTTTGGAAAAAAAAAAGATAAAACGAATAAGAGCTCTATAACTTCTGGACTTTGTTTGATTTTTTGATTGCAACCCTACATTTTGGTGTCAGGAGTGGGATGCGACGCTGAGGTCCAGAAAAGAGCTAATCATGGGTCCAAAGCAGCAGACGAAGAGCCTCAAAGTGGCAGAAGCTGCTCCGGTGGAGGAGGCAGAGCAGGAGGGAGCTACAGGTCAGTCAACTTTGCACTCCAGTGATGAAACATCTGTGGACATGAACAACATTGCTGCCATGCTGGAAAGATGTCTCCAGTTCCAGAGTGACTTTGTTGATAGATGGGACAAAGAGGAATGTAAGCAAGAAAAGAGATGGCACCAGATTCAGGATGAAATGACCAATTTGAGAGAAGAGCTGGAGAAGCAGCAGAAAACTGAAACTGAAGCTGAGGCTCAATCAGGCCCCTCTTCAGAAGCAGATGTGGAGCCAACTCCCGGCATCAATCTAGAGGTGAGCCAGTACAAAAAGCATGGACTCAATCTGATATTCCAAAGTTTGAGGAGGGGAGATGACATTGAACAATACCTAACAACCTTTGAAAGGTTGGCAACGGCGTACCAGTGGCCTGAGAGGGACTGGGCAATAAGATTGGTACCTCATCTCACCGGCAGGGCCCGAGCAGCATATGTGGCCATGGCTGTAGAGGATTCCTGTGATTATGACGAAGTAAAGCAGCCATCTTGACTAAATATGAGATTAATGAAGAAGTGTATCGACAAAGATTTAGAGAGCCTGAGGTCCGTGTGAATGAAACCCCTCGAGAGTTTTACAATCGTTTGAAAGACCTTTACCTGAAGTGGATGCAGCCTCAGAAGAAAGAAAAGATGAGATAGGGATCCTCATTCTGGAACAGTTCTACAGTTCTCTGTCACCAGAGTTGAAAGTGTGGGTTAAAGAGAGGAACCCTGCATCGGCACAAGAAGCGGCAGAACTTGTTGAAAACTTCCTGGCTGCAAGGCGGGGACCAAAAACCTTCCGATATAACCTTCAACATAAGACCAGCTCAATGCAGGGTAAGTCTGTGGGGTTCGGTTTGGGTGGTGGTCCAAGTCAGATGACAGCTGTAGCGAAACAAAGGGGGAAACATTCTCATCTAAGCCCAAATCAGAAACAAAACCTATTGTCTGCTATTTTTGTGGTCAAGGGTCATATAAACCTGACTGCCCGTTGATAAAAGCTAAATCAGCATATTTTTGCACTGTTCCGAGGCCAGGGTTTGTAGAAGACCAATTTCAGGGTAAGAAACAAGTCATGGAGGTTAGAGTAAATGGAAAGCCAGCCATTGCTCTTTTAGATACAGGAAGTGTACAGACCTTAGTCCACCCGTCTATTCTGAAAAATCAATGCTATCTAGGGGGGCCTGGCCTTGATATTTCCTGTGTGCATGGAGATCACATACCCCACTGCTGCAGTTTTTCTAGAAGTGGCAAACCAAACTTATCTTTTAAGTGTTGGTGTAGTGGAAGGTCTTGCCTACAAAGTCATTTTGGGTCAGGATATTCCAGTTTTACCAGAACTGATTCAGGCCTGTAAGCCGGTGTATGTGGTAACCAGATCACAAACACAAGCTAAACTAGCTGGGGAGGAGGCATCTGCAGCTACACCGGAGGGTGTTGAAACAGGCCAGCAAATCAACTCTGAAACTACTGATGAGCTGAACCTATGAAAGAACTGCCCTTCTTTAATTTTGATATTCCTTCTGAGAGTGTGGTTAAAGGGAGGAAAAGCAAACAACAAAGAAGGCTTCATAAAATGGCAGGCACGGTTAGGCAAACCTCATTGGTTGCCAGATCTTGACTGGGACATTTTGGGTTCACAAGTTGACTTCAAGACATTACAACAGTCTGATGAATCACTGAAGGGTCTTTTTGATCAAGCAATTCCTTTCACGGATAAAACACCCTGAGGGGGGAGATTATATCCTTAGAGATGGGTTGCTCTACTTTCAAAGGGGGAAGACAGGTTCTGACAAGCTGGTGGTTCCACAAAGTCTAAGGGAACAAGTGTTAAATTTGGGTCATAGTGTTCCTTGGGCAGGACATCTGGGTTTTAAAAAGACCTATGACAGGATTTATGCCAGGTTTTATTGGCCAGGTCTTTATTATCAAGTAAAAGAGTTCTGCCAATCGTGTCCAGTGTGTCAGCGGTCGGGAGGCAAGAATGTCTCAAAATATCCATTGCAGCCTTTACCCATTATGGATGTTCCTTTTAGCAGGATAGGTATGGACATTGTGGGGCCACTTGAACGGACCCAAGCAGGAAATCGGTTTATTCTGGTTGTATGTGATTATAGCACTCGGTATCCAGAGGCTTTTCCTCTGAGAGACATAACTGCTAAACAGATAGCCTATGCTTTACTCCAGTTGTTTTCTAGGGTGGGTATTCCATCAGAAGTACTTACTGATCAAGGTACTAACTTTTTGTCAAACAATCTTAAGCAGGTCTATAGGTTGTTGGGCATAAAGGGTATTCGGACCACCCCCTACCACCCACAGACTGATGGGTTGGTGGAGCGATACAACAGGACATTAAAGAGCATGTTGAAGAAGTTTGTCTCTGTCAATGGCAAAGACTGGGATAAGTGGTTACCCTATCTACTGTTTGCTTATCGTGAAGTTCCGCAGGCGTCCACTGGCTTTTCGCCATTTGAACTTCTTTATGGCGGACAGCTGAGGGGTCCTCTGGATGTGCTTCAAGAGTCCTGGTTGGCGAGAAGGGGCAGTCAACCAATGTCATCAGCTACATTCTAAAGATGAGACAGAAGATGGAGGAGACAACCAAGCTCGTCAGAAGGCGCCTGGAGAAGGCGCAACGGCACCAACAGACCTGGTCTAATAAAACGGCCAGATGCAGATCCTTCAAACCAGGTCAGAAGGTTCTTTTATTACTTCCAACATCTGAGAATAAACTGTTGGCAAAATGGCAGGGGCCATTCACTGTTCTAAAGAAGCTAAGTGCTACCACCTATGAGATTGAGATGCCTGAGAGAAGGAACACAAAGCAAACTTTTCATATCAATCTGCTTAAGGAGTGGAAATCCCGGGCTCCACCCCTTGCCCAGCATTGCTTTGTGCGTGCTGTGGAAGAGGAAGATGATTATGAGGGTGAGTTGCCATCTGTAAAAGACTCTGTTAACTCACTTGACCTGTCTCATCTCACCCTCAGCCAGCAACAGGAGTTAGAGGCCATTATTCCATCAGATCTCTTCAAAGAACAACCAGGTTCAACAGATTTGGTGAAACATGATATTCGTCTGAAGTCCAGTGTCCCCATCCGGCAACGAATGTATCACATCCCAGAGAAGATGTCTCCGGTGTTGAAGGAGGAAATTGAGGTCATGTTGAAGCTTGGCGTGATTGAACCATCCACCAGTGAATGGAGCAACCCGGTGGTTTTGGTAATCAAGAAGGATGGAAGCATCCGTTTTTGCATTGACTTTAGAAAGGTAAATGCTCAATCAGACTTTGATGCATACCCATTACCAAGGTTGGATGACCTCATTGAATGTGTTGGCCAGGCTAAATATATAAGTACTTTAGATCTTTGCAAGGGATACTGGCAGGTTCCCCTAACAGATGCTGCTAAGCCTCTCACTGCCTTCAGGACCCCACAAGGATTATGGCAGTTTACCAAGATGCCTTTTGGACTTCATGGCGCACCCGCCACTTTTCAAAGACTGATGAATAAGGTATTGTCTGGTCTGGAGTCATTTACTGCAGCTTACCTTGACGATATTGTCATTTACAGCAACTCGTGGCAAGAACATCTGATTCATCTGAGGCGAGTGCTACAGGCCATCAAGCAAGCTGGCTTGACTATTCATCCCAAGAAATGTTCATTGGCAAAGAAGGAGCTTCAATATTTAGGCCACATCTTGGGTGGAGGAGTCATAAAGCCAGTGAAAGACAAGGTGGAGGCAATTAAAGCAGCAGAAAGACCAACAACTAAGAGACAAGTCAGGTCCTTTTTGGGCCTGGTAGGTTGGTATCGGCGTTTTATCAGAAACTTTTCTGCTAGGGCAGCTCCTCTTTCTGACCTTACTGCGACATCAAAAGCAAAAATTGTGTGGGGAGAAGCGCAGGAGAGGGCTTTCCAGGATTTGAAGCAGGCACTGTGTCAAGAACCTGTACTTCAGAGCCCAAACTTCACCTTACCCTTCACTGTACAGACTGATGCATCTGCCAGGGGGATTGGTGGGGTTCTTTTGCAGGGGGAAGTGGAGAAGAAACCAGTCGCCTACATCAGTAGGAAGCTGTTTCCACGAGAGACCAGATATTCGGCGGTGGAACTGGAGTGTCTGGCTATTAAATGGACTATTGACTCTTTGAGATATTATCTGCTGGGGAGAGAGTTCACCCTGGAGACTGACCATCGGGCACTGAAATGGTTGGAAGCCATGAAAGACACAAACAGTCGCATAACACGATGGTTCCTGTCTCTTCAACCTTACCGATTTAAGATGGGCTACATTCCAGGAAAAGAGAACACAGTTGCAGACTTTTTGTCTCGCTGGAATCACAGCGGGCCTCCTGAAGAGGAGGGAAGTGTGAGGGATTAACCCCTCCCTAAAAGGTGATGTGTTTGTGCTGCTATATTCCAATTTATTTATTAACTGTATTTTGTTTGGAGGAAGCAACTTGCTTTGTTTGGTGTTTTTGTTTTAATCATTTTTCTTCTCTTTGAGGTCACCTGGTCAGGTGTTGCCATGGAAGCGCGCCCATGAGCAGTGCTGACAAGGACCTGATGTTTTCAATCAACCTCAGAATCTATTGTTTGAGAGAGAGGGGAGATGTGTTTTGGATTTAATTTGGGGCCCAGATTGTTTTTGTTTTAGTTTGAAGGTTGTTAGTTGAAATGTAAATTTCTTTCCAGGAATATAGTGTAGTACAAATGTTGTTTTCACTTGTAAGTGTTGACTCCACCCCTTAATTAGTCAAGGAAGAGCCAATGCTTTAAAAGGCAGGTGTGTTAGATCAGAAGGCTCTCTCCCTCTTGTGTGTGAACCTGTCATGATGTAACTGGATGGAAATGCTTTTGGAAAAAAAAAAAAGATAAACGAATAAGAGCTCTATAACTTCTGGACTTTGTTTGATTTTTTTGATTGCAACCCTACACAAAGAAAAAACAATTACAAGTTTGACATCAAATATAACACAAATCATAAAAACAAAAAAAATGCAAAGAATTAAATGAACACATAAAAAAATCCTAATTTATCTGTTGTAAGTCAAAACATCTCACCATCATAACAGATGAAGGGTTTTCTTTCATCACAGTTCTCATTCTTCCATCTGCCTCCATCATCAAACACAGTCATGGCACATTGACCACTTTTGATTATCTGATTGTAAAACTGTAGATTCCAGTGTCTGAAAGAGAAACTGCTTCCATCTGACCACCTCCAGGAGTCTCTGAACAGACCAAAGTATGCTCTATTATCTGAAGAGTTCATCAATTTCTTCACTTCTTCATCCTGTAGTTGCTTCATTCCACTGATCAGGTCTGTGTGTTTCTCTCTGCAGTAACTTTGAGCTTCCAGCCAGGTCTTCTTCTCTCTAATCAGGTGATATTTATGGGTTTTATTAGTTTCTGTGGAGTGAACAGATAAAAGCACATCATAATTTATAAATCTTTTTCAGGATAAGCATAAAATCAGGCTCACTGGCAATGTTTTATCCAGATACTTTCATTGGACAATCTAACAAGTTTATATTTATACTCACCATCATAGCAGAGGAAATATCCAGACCACTTGCAACCCTGATCGATCCATTTAAGATTTTGATAAAGAGTCACACAGTCCTCAGATTCTGTATCAGTCGGTTCTCCTGGGCTCCAGTTTGTCTCACTTTCATTGAACTCCAGTCCAGGCAGAGACCAGTACCATGTTCTGGTACCATGTGTTTGATCATACAGACCAATCCAAGCTTCCTTTATATCTCCATCTGAGATGTTGATGAGTCTCTTCATGTCCTTCATGTTAGTCACTGTGACCAGGTCAGTGTGTTTCTCTCTGCAGTACTGCTGAGCTTCAGTCCAGGTTTTATTCTCATTAATGTAGTGAAACTTATAGAGCCAGGCTGACCACAGGAAGGATGTGCTTTGATCCTTCCTGATTGTAGATGATTCATTTAAGATTATTCACCTAAAACTAAGCAGGTCAGTGGACTTTAAGAATGTCATGAAGTTGTGATGAGGATAAATGTTGTAAAAGCCAAGGTAAGGTGAGACAATGAGTTTAACAATGACCAAAAACCAGTTGACTGCGCCAGGTCCAACAGAGGATGACAGATTCAGAACAATGCCAAAGAATGACCCCACTCGGGGGAAGGGTGTACAGAAAACGGATGGATGGACTCAACAACGACTAAGGATCCAGCAGGGAACAGATGACATTAAATGCACAGGGGCTACTCAGAGTCAGCTGGACAGAATCAAGCTGATGACAAAATAACAAAATGCATACACAGAAATCAGAAATGGACATCATCAATCTCCTCTTTTAACAAGAGTCCAGTTGTGAAAATCAATGGCTAACTTCTCAACTGAACAACCCGTTCTGATCAATGAATCATGAGTCTATGTTTCCTCTTTCCAACTCGCTGTAAACGGCTATTCGTAGTGATACAGCAAAAGACCATTCAGAAAGGGACCTGCTACGAAGTTCTACTTGATGAATTTCAGTTCAGAGAAAACACACAATCAAACCCCAAAGCCTATTGGATCATTTTACCTTTCTGCCTTAAAATGAGTTCTGAATAATCCACAACAAAACTCACCGACAGAATCCAGAGAAGAAATGCAGAAATCTTTCTCAATAAAACATGTTCAAGGTCAAAGATACGCAAGTTCAGAAAGCCAAATACTTAAATCGAACACGCAATGGAAGGCTTGAAGAAGCAGAAACGTGGTACAAATAGTGATGCTTAAAAAAATTTAGTGAATATGGCGTTTTAAATTTTGTGTCATTTCTGTTTACGGCATCAAAGCTGAAAATCAAAGAGCGGCTTTCTATGATTTTGAATGTTAACCAGTGATTTGCATTTCGGATTATCTCCTAACGCTCATTCAGAGATTAATGCCCAGCATAACTCATACCCTTGGCAGGTTTATATTGAAATTAACCTGCAAATGTTTTACCAAAATTGCTTTCTTTTTTTCTAACAATAATGTTTTTGAATGGCTCCGTCGGAGTCCAGACTTGAATCTGATAAGGGATATAAGGAGGGAGCCAAAGATTGGGGCGACGTTTGGATTGCTGTAATGGCAACAAATATGTTAGTATTGAATATTTAATAGTGCATAGATTATTTATAATATTCTATTCATTTTCAAATTCAAGTTATGAAAGTAGCTACATGTATTTCTTTCCAATTTGATTCTCCTTTTACAGGATTTTGTTATCTTTTAGAAACGCCTGTCTAATTTCCTATTGAAAACAAATTTCATGGTTAATTGAACAACAATTAATTTGACATTTCTGTAACTTGACATGGCTGCCTTCTTTCTCTGACCTTAACATTTTATGTTGAGCTTTTACTTTAGTCTCTTTTGACTTTCCAAATGTATTTAGCTTGTCAGCGAAACACTAAAAACCACTACAATGTAAGTCAAGCCAAGAGACTTCTTGAAACTGAATCTCTCTGGCCTAGTTGCTATAAAAAGCTACTTGTTTATGTGCAGTAGAAATCTCAATCTGAAGAGAGAGGCAGAAGAAAGAGAGGCGAAAGACAGATCCGCGTGTGAAAGAAGAGTTGGCATTGAGACGAACGCTTTTTATTCATCAAGATATTTTTCCGGATGCCTTCAGTAAACTTAAAAATCCACGTTTGACATGGAGTTCACGAGGCGCTACCTCCCGATGGAGTGGGAAGAGCGATGGAGGAAAGAAAAGGAGAGGAGGAAAAGAACGATTGAAGAAGGTGGAGAAGGGTTGGAACAAGACAACCGCGAATTGAGGCGAATCGTTGCTTACAACGACTCCAGGATGGGCTTCGCTGGTCAAAGACTTAAAACTAAAGAGTCTGAGGCGAGAAAGACTCAAAGTAATGAGGACGATGCCAGTGGACATTGTAGTGATGAGGCATTTGAGGACATGGAAGGTCATGTCTACACTTTCTCAAGCAAAACCTTTGCTAAAGAGATATTTATGACTCTTAAAGAATTGCAGATTTCCTCTATTCTTACAGACCTGACTCTGACTGCTGAGGACGGCAGCAGCTTCACGGTGCATTCCCTTGTTTTGGCTGCTGTCAGTGCCTTCATTCTAGACAAGCTGAAAGAAAAAAACATGGGACAGTCTTACAATACCCAAGGGAAAGTCACAATGTGGTCAATACACATGGGTACTGAAGTTGACCAAATTGGGCTTCAGGCACTTATTGAATTTGCTTACAGTGGAGATGTATTGACTTTAAACAAAGACACACTAACTCAGATCAAAACTGCAGCTAAAGTACTGGAGGTCCCACAACTGTTGGATCTCTGCAACAACATAAACACGACAAAGAAAGATCAATGTCCAAACTCAGAACAAGATAGAATCTCCGCAGACGTACATCTGAAGAATACTCTACGGTCCATTGAAAGTTTGTTGGAAGACAAAGTTGGATGTGATGTAATTTTGGAACTGGATGAGATTTCTTTCCACGGTAAGTTAGTATGATCTCAGCTTACTATACTGACTACTTTACGATAGTAGCCAAAGTTGACCTTTACCTCTGTCTGACTCCAGTTCATAGAATTATCCTAGCAGCAAGCAGCGGCTACTTCCGTGGAATGTTCACATGTGGAATGAGGGAATCTCAGCAGGCCTGCATCGCTCTTCCTTTTGTGCCAGCTTGTGAATTGGGGGCTCTAATCGGTTGGTCCTACAGCGGGACTCTTCGTCTCAGCTGGGACTGTGTTTTTGAGACAACCTGCACTGCCCTGCAGCTTCAGTTTCAACCTGCTTTCTTGCTCTGCCTGAAATTCATGCGAGAAGAAATGCAGATGAACTCGTGCCTAGACGTGGAGTCATTCGCTGAAGCATATGGCTTGTCAGAACTCCTGGAGGAAGCCAATGACTTTATACTGAGGAACTTCAGGGAAGTGTCAGCAACAGCAAAGTTTCAAGACCTTCCAGCAAAGAAGCTCCTGGACTTGCTCCGCTGCGATGGTCTGTGCGTTCCTTCAGAGTTGACTGTGTTTCGTGCTGTAATCTCCTGGATTCAAGCGGATCCCGAGGAGAGGTTGGGCCAGGCTGCTTTACTGATGAGCGGAGTTCGTTTCCCACTCATGACTTTCCGTGAGTTCAGGGAGGTCAGGGCAATTAATCTACGCATGGAGTGCTTTGGAGACAAAGAAGTGGACCTCTACGAATCCGCTTTCAAGGAATTTGGGTTCAGTCTCCCAAAGTCTGATGAATACTACCGAATCAGGCGACCTAAAGATGTTCTTTGTGTGGTTGGGGGAGACCAGCTGGATCCAGACGGAGGCAAACATATACCAAGCCAGAATATCTGGTTTGCCAACTCTTTGCGCAGTGGCACAGGATTGGTGAAGGAGATAGAGTGGAGGAGACTAGGAGAGATTCCAGACAAGCCAAAGTTCAGACATGGCGTGGCAGTAATGGACAGAAGGTTGTATGTAGCTGGTGGATGTTACTTTTATACCAAGAATAACATAATGACATCAGCCTACAGGTAAGGAAACAAACCACAGCATTTATATCCATTTCTTAGACGTAAGTTCTCATCATCCACATCCTTTCTGTTGCTCTAATAAAGCTACGACCCCATGACAAACACCTGGAAAAGTTTGGCCGACATGCAGGAGCCAAGAAGTAACTTCTCATTGGTGGTGCATGAGGAACGCCTTTATGCCATTGGTGGAGACAAAGAGATTGACACCAACACGGACAGCGTTGAGGTGTACAAACCAGACAGCAACTCGTGGAGGTAATATATTTGTCATTTGCAATTGAGTTCCACGACTCAAGTTTAAATGTTTAAAACAGAGGAGAAAACAGATCTTTAGCTAGATCAGAATCTAGCTAAAGAAGATCCACCTAATATCTGTGGTAAATATTAATACTGAACAAAACTCAGCATAATGAAAACATTCAGAGCCTCAGTGAGATTTTACTGCCTGGTTTTTCTGTCATTGGAACAGTGGTTGGATGTTTGATTCTTGAATGGATTATTTGCTCATTAATTTATTTTAAAGCTTATTTCTTTGAATTTCCTGCTCACCTTTCTTTAACTTTATTGCAGGTGTAATAAAGTTCAGGAGATAAACTTTCATTTATTTCATTTGCAAACGCTGGTTTGCAGGCAGGGTTTGGCTCAGTGACGGGTCCATTTCTAAATGCAACTTGTTTTTGGAGCGTATGTAAATGAATAGTTCTGGAGAAGAGCTCGCAATGCTAATTCCTCCAGGGAAATAAGTTGACCTTTTACATATTTGAACCAAATCATCTGTTTTTAAATGCAATAATCAATAATAAAGAGCTTATGAACTTAGGAAATTCACAAGTTCCCAACTTATAAAATATGCAATACCAGGCACTGGACACCAGATGGCAACATTTGCCACCTGAGAGAGCACATGACTATATTCAGGAGGTTTCATTAAATTCAGCTTCAGTTGAATACACCTTTAATATTGGATTTAAATTAGAAGAAATTTGTGAATTGCTCAGGAAATTATGTTTCTTTTTGTGCTATTGTTGTTTTTATTTTATTTATTTTTTTTTTGATTTGGGGAATTTTTACACACTCCGAAGACACTCAAATCCCAGCTCCTGAACTTTGCTCACGGTTTTATCAGTGTAGAGTCTCAGATGACCTTTATCTAGACGTTGATCTAGAAACAAATATTTTAGAAAGATGTTTACTCTCTAAAATAGGAACATGTTTTTGGAAAGCCATAAGAGCGATTAAAATAAATACTTATCTGCGGTTAATCACAGTTTAATATACACATATATTTATGTGGAAGATCACTTCAAGTCATTTGGGATAAATTTGCCTGTTTAAAAATTTTAAAGAAATTGTGACTCGGGAAGCTGAAACACCTCGGAGCAGAGCTGCTTGACACGCTATTGGCTGGCACCGGCAAAGCAATCAAGGAATCATTTTCCTTAGCGCTTTGTCTAGTTACATCATTTTCATGAGAGAAAGATGCTGGTAAATTTCTATCAGTTTATCTGGAAGTAGTTTCTCCCTGATTTTAGACGTTTGTGTCATCATTAACTGATTCATGTTCTTTTCTTGTTCCTAGCTTGGTCCATCCTCTGGACCAGGCTCTCAGTGGCTACGGAGTCTCTGCCATAAATGGAGGCATTTTCATCTCTGGGGGTTTTAACTGTAAATACGTGTGCCTGGTCTCCGTGTTCCTGTACCACCCGGAGAGAGGAAGCGTCTACCTGGCGGACATGTCCTACGACCGAGCCCTGCACTGCATGGAGGCGCTGCGAGGACGCCTCTACGTGGCCGGTGGGCTGTGCAACCTGAGGAAGTTCTACACCGATCAGCTTGCCTGTGAGGTGTACGACCCGGTGACGGACTCCTGGGCTGATTTTTCCTCGCTGCCGGTGCCCCATGTTGGCTCTGCCTCGGCCGTATTGGAGGAGAAGCTCTATGTTCTGGGAGGATACTGCCAGGACGATTACAGTGAGTCGGGCCTGGTCCATCGGTTTGACCCCGGCCTCCAGCGGTGGGAGACCATGGGCAAGCTGCCAGGGGCTGTTACTGACATTAAGGCCTGTCTTCTCCACTTGGCCCAGCAATTCAGACACTGAACGGATCAGAAAATCCAATCTGTCATTTGGATTTGCAAAGTATTTGTGCTTTAATAAACAGAAGAATGCAAAGTATTGCATAAGTGGGAAGTGGGATGGTATTTGTCTTCAAGCTGGCCCATCTTCTTCCACATGTCTCTTGTACTTTCTTCTTATAACTTTCTTTCAGCATTTTCTTGCTAGTTTTCTTCATGAAAGTCTGATTAATTGAGTAGGGATGTCCTGCTTATGTATCGTCCGTGTTGAGCTGTGGATACCTGCAGTTTCCTGCCTAGAAGGACAGCGGACTGAGATTATGAAAGATGTTTTTAAGCTCATAGTTTGGAACCAAAAAATAAAAAACAAAACAAGAACAGCTCACTGTCATCGAGGTTGGAATGAGGATGAAAGGAACATTAAAAAGAAGATGTTCACCAGAGATAAGTCATAACTTTGGAGACGCCACAAGTTTTTCCTCATTCTTTTCTGAAGATAAAATAGAAAAAAATGAACTGTGAAAAACCTCTGCTGTTCTTTTTTTTATTGTTTTTTCTTTGTTTGTTTGCTTGTTTTTTTTTTTTTTTTTTTTTTTTGCAACATGAGGAAAAAGTTGGGATCGGGTTGCAAAAGTTACATATTCATTTTATTGTTTTAGTGCAAAATATAAACCAATGAAGGATCCAAGAATGACATTTGTGAATAAACTCAAGTTCTCCCCAGAACCAGCTGTGGTTCATACGCCATTAGACTGACTATTTTATTGGAACTTTTTTATTATTATTATTTCTTTCTTTACCATTCTATTTTTGTGGTTACATATTTATTTTACTCACCAACCAGTTCATTCGTTGACCTGTGACCTCACTGTGTTGTGACGTGTTATCAGTGTCTCTCATGACTTCATAAAAGAACACGACTGCAAAACGGACTGAGATTATGAAAGATGCTTTGAGGTCATAGTTTGGAACCAAACAATAAAATAAAAAACAAGAACAGCTCCGTGTCTTCTTAGCTCCTGCCGTATGCTGAAGAATGAGGAAGACGAGGTTGGAATGAGGATGAAAGGAACGTTAAAAGGAAGATATTCACCAGAGATAAGTCATAACTTTGGCGACGCCAGAAGTTCTTCCTCGTTCTTTTCTGAAGATAAAAATCTTTAAAAAAATACTCCATCTGTGAAAAACCCCTGCTGTTCTTTTTTTTTTTTTTATCGTACACTTTTATAAATGTTGTAAAAGATGTAGGATTAAAATTTTGTTTTTCTGAAAATAATTCAGAGTCATGTTTGGATGCTGCAGTGGTCAGGGGAAGTCCAACTATTGTAACGTCCAATATTTTTCAATAAATGTCTCTGCACACATGTTTCCAAGAGATAAACTTATATTCACAGTCAGAGTCTGACATGAACAACTAATTAAATGAGGTAAGGCCTTAGAGGACTTGCCTCATTTAATTGTCACTTCTCTCTATGCAGTGTATGTATGTGGTTAATAAATATACTTAATTACAATGACATTTATTACAAAGGAGGTAATGTTGAATCAAATTTATTTTGTGAAAAGAATCCAACTTTGACAGGACTGGATATTGATTCTTTTTTCACAAATTATCAGTCTCATACATACCACACTATCACAACACAGCGACGGTGTCAACCAATGCGATTTTAATTTTTGATTTTGTTTTTAGACCAGTGGGAAGACGAGAAAGCCACTGAAAACACCCGTGTGTATTTTACCGCCGTGCCACAAAATGACGCTGACACAGTCTCCAGTGGTCATCTCCAGGATGACCGAGTTGCTGGTCGTGTCGCTGGCGTCCGGCCCTGTGAACTCCCAGGTGCTCACTTGGTATCTTCCGTTCTTCACCAAGATGGCTCCCGACGTGTGGCTGCTGTAGCCGAAGGTCATGAAGCTGAAGTGATAGATCCCGCTCACCGGAGCCGTGAAGACCCCTGCGGAGGAGGAGGATGCACCGATTAATCCTGGAGTGATTATCGATTGACTCCTGCTGTCCAACCAAGATACTGCACTTATATCCTCTACAGTCAATAGACTTAGGGAGGGTCACTGACCTAAATTAAGGGTCTTACCTGTCTGTTTGTTGTAGGCATTGCCTACATTTGTGAAGACTCTGTCAAATTTAAGGACATTGCTGGTGCCAGGAACGTGAGGTCCAGTAAACGAATCTACAGACTCGATGATGGTTGCTGAAAAGGCAACTTTGTTCATTACTGGAGAAGGTAAAGAAAACATAACGGTTAGTTTTCGGTTCTTACCTACTAAGTCTTGCAAAAGTGTTCAAATTTTGACTTCAAAATGTAGCGTTGAGTTTTGGAGGAAGATTCGGTTATTGTTCAAATAAACATTCGGTTCAAGTTGGAAACATGAAACAGAAACTTTGACATTTTCAATAAACCTAACGAAACACTGAATTATATTCACCTCCAATCTGATTCAGGAGATGGTTCACTGTCAGATTTTGCATCTTCAGCTCTTTGTTCAAGATTTCAATGTTGGAGCCAAGTGCAGATTTTTCATGGCTTAGTTTTGCATTGATGCCTGGAGAACAATTAGGGAAAGGTTGAAGTGTCGGCTGTAAGGTTTACGTGGAAAGCATGCAATGCTATATCATCGGTTTTTATTGATGTTAAGTTACCTTCGTTCATTTTCAGAAGCGCCTCCAGTTTTTCTTCGATGTCCATCTTGATGACGTTCAGCCGGTCCTCGACTTTGACCTCGAGGTCGTGCGCCGTTGACTTCAGGCGGGAAAGTTCCTTCTTGTAGGAGCTCAGGAGTTTAGTGGTGTCGTTGAACGCAGCCTCGGTTTCCGTCTCCAGGTTTTCAAGCTTGGCTTTTTTTTCCGCCAGCTGCCTCTCGGCTACATCCAGTCTCTCCTCAATGGCACTGAAGTTTCCCCCAAATCGTTCATGGTGTTTCTCCAGTTCATCAACCTCATTCTTCAGGATGCTAATATCCACTTTGTGGTTGCTTGTGGATCTGGTCAGCTCTGCAAAAATATATGTATATTCTCTTAGACCCTATAACGTCTGGACAGACTGGACTGGAGGATATGGTGTCAGGCCAAACCTTTGAGACTCAGTTTAATGTGTTTGCACCTTCAGTTGTTTACAACAAAACAAAGAGATGTTGTTGGGATGTCAACATTACCTTCACTTTTTAACTGAATCGCCTGCAGTCGGTTCTCAAGGTCCGTCTTGGTGACGTTCAGTCGGGACTCTAGATGGACTTTGAGGTCCTGAGTTGTTGAGTTCAGGTGGGAAATCTGATCCCTGTACGAGTTCAGCAGAGCTTTACTGCTGTTGAACGAAGCTGCAGTTTCTGTGTCCAAAGCTGTAATTTTGGTTTTGAAGTCCAAAAACGGTGCAAAGGTCAACAAACAATAATTAAGTTACATTCAGCACCTTTATTAATGTAACAAACAGTATAGGATATGTGCTGTGAAAGTTAAAAAGGAACCTTTTCACAAATCTGGTTTGTGTTTTACATGAAACAGGCAACATACACTTAAACAATCTTCTGTTTTTGGTTATTTGTTCTTTTTTCTTTTGCAGAATTACCTTCTGTAGTTTCCTCCATCGTTTGTAGTTTCTTTTCAAGGTCAGTCTTGGTGGCAACCAGTCGGTTTTCAAGTTTGACTTCCAGACCCAGAGTCGTTGTATTAAGCAGGGAAAGTTCATTTTTGTACATGTCCAGTAAGGTTCTGGTGCTGTTGATTGAAAGTCCAGTTTCCGTTTCCAGATTTTCAACCGTGGCTGTTTATTTCCAAAAACAGGTCAACAAGTTTGAACTCCACTGGCTTCACACACCAAATCCTCTATTTTTATGATTACAACTCATAACTACACCCACCTGCAGTTTGACCAATCAGCTGGTTCATCGTGGCGTTTTGTGTTTGCAGCTCATGAATGACTTTGTTGAATCTGCTTGTGATTTTGTGGTCCAGTTCAGTTTTCTGGTTGTGCAGTTTGGTGCTAAAATCTTGGATTGCAGGTTGAGTAGGTTATAATGTTTGTAGAAAGGATATTCTGATTAATGTGTAAGAATAATAAATGTGAAACTACCTTGAGTGTCTTTCAGAAGCGCCTCCAGTTTTTCTTCGATGTCCATCTTGGTGACGTTCAGTCGGTCCTCAACTTTGACCTCGAGGTCGTGCGCCGTTGACTTCAGGCGGGAAAGTTCCTTCTTGTAGGAGCTCAGGAGTTTGGTGGTGTCGTTGAACGCAGCCTCGGTTTCCGTCTCCAGGTTTTCAAGCTTGGCTTTTTTTTCCGCCAGCTGCCTCTCGGCTACATCCAGTCTCTCCTCAATGGCACTGAAGTTTCCCCCAAATCGTTCCTGGTGCTTCTCCAGTTTATCAACCTCATTCTTCAGGATGCTAATATCCACTTTGTGGTTGCTTGTGGATCTGGTCAGCTCTGCAAAAATATATGTAGATTCTCTTAGACCCTACAAACATCTGGACAGACTGGACTGGAGGATGTGGTGTCAGGCCAAACCTTTGAGACTCAGTTTAATGTGTTTGCACCTTCAGTTGTTTACAACAAAACAAAGAGATGTTGTTGGGATGTCAACATTACCTTCACTTTTTAACTGAATCGTCTGCAGTCGGTTCTCAAGGTCCGTCTTGATGACGTTTCGGGACTCTAGATGGACTCTGAGGTCCTGAGTTGTTGAGTTCAGGTGGGAAATCTGATCCCTGTACGAGTTCAGCAGAGCTTTACTGCTGTTGAACGAAGCTGCAGTTTCCATCTCTAAAGTTATAATCCTGACTTTGATGTAATAAAAGAAAAAAAAAGAATGCAAGAGTTAATATAAAATATTCAATTACAATCCCTTTACTGGCATATTTAACACAATGTGAACAACTGGATACCGAAAAAGAAATCTTTAACCTTTGTGGTTTATGCTTTATTTAAAACAGGCCTATCATGCACTTTGGTAATCTTGAATTTCGGTGATTTTTGTTCGTGTTATAGCAGAATTACCTTCAGTATTTTCCTCAATCATCTGTAGTTTCTGTTCAAGGTCAGTCTTGGTGGCATCCAGTCGGCCTTCAAGGTCGACTTCAAGCCCCCGAGTCGTTAGATTCAGGAGGGAAAGTTCATTTTTGTACGTTTCCAATAAGGTCTTGGTGTCGTTGAATGAATCGACGGTTTCCATCTCTAGTTGGACAAGCCTGGCTGGGCCACAAGTTGAAACCCTATTTTTATGAAATACTGGGATTTCAGACTCTGTATCAGCTATCAGAATTGCAACACGTACCTGCAGTTTGACCAATCAGCTGGTTCATCGTGGCGTTTTGTTTTTGCAGCTCATGAATGACTTTGTTGAATCTGCTTGTGATTTTGTGATCCAGTTCAGTTTTCTGGTTGTGTAGTTTGGTGCTAAAATCTTGGAATGCAGGTTGAGTAAGTTAAAGCCTTTGAATTAGGAATATTTTGATCAATCTCAAAGAATGTTAAGTTTGAAATTACCTTCAGTGTTTTTCTCAATTGCGTCCAGTTTTCCTCCGAGCTCCACCTTGGTGACGTTCAGCCGACCTTCCAGTTGTACCTCAAGGTTTTGGGCCGTTGAGTTGAGGCGGGACAGATCGTCCTTGTACGCGTTCAGCAGCGTTTTCATGCTCTCGAAAGCAGCTTCGCTTTTCATCTCCAGACCTTCAAGCTTGGCGTTTTTGTCGACCAGCTTCTTCTCGGTCACGTTCAGCCTCTGCTCGATTTCGCTGAAGTTTTCACCGACTCCTTCTTGCCGTTTCTCCAGTTTGTCGACAGCACTCCTTAGACTCTGAATGGCAGAACTTTGACTTTCCGTAGCTCTGGTCAACTCCGCAAAGTTGTTCTTTAGAGTCCATTCCAATCTCTCAAGCATGTCGTTGTTGCTTTCCAGCGACATTTTCAGCTGCAAAACCGTTTTTTTCAGACTCTCTTGTCCATTGTAGATGTATTTAATGTTCTCATAGTTGGAGCAAACTGTGGGAGTCTGCGTCGTTATTGTTGGCACTGGGTCGCATATTCGAATATAGGGAAGTTGGGAATTTGCGAGTCTGAGCAAAACGGCAAGACAGAACACCCTGGCGGCCATTTTCATCGTCCAGACAGCGTCGCCTCTGCTTGATGTGTGGTTCCTGCCAAAGAAATAGACACAACTTTCATCAGGCTCCTCCTTTTAAGTGTAAAAATTCCCCTGAGGGAAACTCCCACGTTATCTTTCCACCTGTAAAAAACGGAAGTAAATACGGGGAACTTTTATGATTGACTGGGGATAAATGAGATGAAACTCATGCGACATATGCACGCTGATAAATGTGCAGATGACTTGAGACATGAGTCTGTTCATACTGACTGGCCTCTGAAGATGCAAAGGAAAAACATTTCTTGTCACTTTTTTACCTGAAAATTTTAATAGTTTTGTTTTTATTGTGAAATCTAACAGGCTTTTCAATCATTGCAGTACAAAATAAGTTCAAGTAATTCATTGAAATGCTTTTTTTTTTGTAATTCATCAAGCTGGGTGTAGTGAGGCAAGCTAAAATCAGAAGGTATGATGTAGCATTTGTGCTAAATGAAAGTAGTCATTATTGAATAGAGAATGAAACTGAGGGAAAACATCCTAAAAGTGGATGTTTCTTTTGCATATTTAGCAGCATTGTCCGTAAGTTTCCAGTTTCATTTTGAAATTTAGTCAAGAAGTTGACTAAAAATGAAGTAATCGACACATTTATATGAAATAATTCATAAAAAGCAACACAGTCATTTGTGAAATGGCCGAGTTTATCCCAGGTGTATCTGGCACTTCATTCTGATGCCCTACAATGCCTCAGCATTGAGGAGGTGAATATATTTAAATAAGACATTTCTGTCAAACACATGCAACACTTAACCTGCAGAACACAATGTCAAAATAAACTAAATCAATTTGATCTGAATTTGGATTCAGAAAGATCAAGCATCGGTGTTGCCGGACCATCTCTAGTGTGGAGTGACTTAAGTTTTGGTTAAGGTTAGAAATGAACTAGCACTGCTCAGAAAAAATGTCTGGGTTAGGCATCAATGCAGTTACTAAAATGAATTGAAGTCGATGTAAAGTTCTCAGTACAAATGTACTGTTTGTGCATTTGTCCGTAATTTGAGTGCAGGGATTTATTTTCATGTCCTAAGAATGTTTTTTAAGATACAGGAAATTTGAACCGCAGTGACGGCTTTGTCAGGTTTTCTGTTACAATAGTTTGCCTGTCATAACCATCAATGGTCGCTGTTGTCATATTTTTGAATGACGCTGTTTTTCAGCTCTTGAGGGTAGACTGGCTGTCTGGTGGATGGACTGCAACTATTGTTTTAAAATGTCATCAGAAGATCTTATTACTGACGACTGACAACAAAATGCAACTAAATTTCACCTGTTTTCTTAAGAGTGGGACAACATGAGAAGGAAGTCTTTTTATGGTGATCAAAACTACTTTAACAAAGTTTTTTTAAAAAAAGAAAAATACAAAAAAAAAATGGTTAAAAGAAAATTTATTAGTTTAAACCGTAAATGTATTAAAGTAGATATAAAGATCTAGTATGAATTTTTTTTTTTGTTTTTTTTTATCTCATTGCAAAGTGTATTGTGCCTAAAAACCTTTTACTAGTGTCTCAATTGAGCAAAGTGGTAGTGGGAGGACACCTCCCTCTTGTGGCCATAGGCTGGTATTGCAAGAAGGAGAAAATCATTTTCATGTTTCCATATGAGTGGAGCAAGTTCAAAAATAAAGCATTACAATTAGGCCTGTCGTTTTTTTTAATCTTCTCTCTCTTTGTTTTTTATCAGAACTGGTCTTCAGTGGCGTATTGGTCTCCGCTGGCCCTTTTTTGAAAGACTATTATAATTCATTTTATTTGTTGTACCTGTTGTTTTATTTATTTTAGATAATTAAAATGTCTTCCAGTTCCGGTTTTAAATGTTCATTAGAATTGAAAAGTTTGAGAATGTATTTCTGCACTCCTATGTCATTACCCTCATATTGCTTGAAAAAGGTATCAAAACAACATTGTTTATTCCCACAATAACTTCTGGGGAAATTCATCATCGGGTCCGAATTTATTGTGACAGGCCAGATTACAACCCACGTTACACAAATGATAAAAATCAACTGATGAAAGCAGACTTTACAGGATTTATTTCAGCAAAACTCTCAATCGTATGAATACCGTTAAATGTCTGCACCTACATATCGCAGTGTTTGGACACATTTATTATAAGACAGATATTAAACATAAAGCACAGACTAAACTTTGATGCCCTGTTAAACACACATGTATTTAATAATCTGTTTACTACAATATGCAGGGACATAACATGAAAACTTCGTAAGTTTCAAACTACTACTGCAGTAGTGTATTTTTTTTTTTTCATTATTGGATGCACATAATTAACGATCAATTTTATCTTGGAAGCTACGGTTAATAAAACTGAGAAATTTGTGTAGTTTGAGATGATTCCTTTAGATTTTAAGACTTGAACACTTGAATACTTTGAGTTTCAGATACCAGAAGACAAAAGCCCAACACACATCATTGTAAAAAAAAAAAAAAAAAAAAAAATCAACTCCTGAAAGATTATGACTGAAATCTCTGACATGCCGACAACAGTTTACATACGTAAATGCTGTGGCAAGCGCAGCACACATGCTCGTATTTCATTGTTGGGCCCTGGCATTTGTCCCATGTTCTCCCATTTCTGCGTGGCGTTGTCATAGCGATGGACCATATTTGTGTCACTGAAGTCCTCCTGGCTGTATCCACCCAACAAATAAAACTTCCCCTCCAAAACTGCACTCCCTGCCCCGACGTGTGGCACTTGCAGAGACGTAAACGCGGTCCAGGAGTCTGCGGCCGGACTGTACATTTCACAGGCAAGCTGGTCGATAACAGTCACGTTATCGTTGGTGCTGATTCCTCCTGCCACGTACAGGTGTTCTCCCAAAGCCTCCATGCTGTGATGAGCTCGAGACTTGCTCATGCTTGTCAGGAAGGTGCTTCCTGTCTCCGGGTGATACAGGAACATAGATGCAACGCACAGCTGGTCACTGTTTTGTCCTCCTGAGATAAAGATCTGCCCTTTGGAAATCTTTGCCACGTGCCCACCCAACGGTAGCTCCAAGGGGCAGGCAAATCTGAAAGAGAAGATGTGAGCAAGGGGATAGCCACATTTCAGCAACAAATCCATATGTGCTAATGTGGTCAAAGACATAAAGTAGGTAAAAGAATGCTGTGGAACTACACACATGGCAGTAAACTCTTAATTATTTTTCTTCCTAGATTACCTCCAGGAGTTTGTAGTGGGGCAGTAACATTCAACAGTATCCATATGATCAGGTTCACAGTATCCACCAATAGCATATAATCGTCCATCCAGTACAACCACAGAGAAAGAGGATCTCTTCTCTTGCATCTCACACAGGGACTCCCAGCTGTTTTGAAGTGGGCTGTACCTACATGTGGAGTACAGAGATAAATACAGATGTTAAAACTGTAACACTAACTTATTTTGGTCTTTGTCATATTGCCTTCCCTCACCTGTAAACGGAGTTAAAGATGTCACCCTTGCCGTAATATTTTTTGCCTCCAAGAATGTACAGTTGCCCATCGAGCAAAGCAACTTCATGACTGAACCTTGGTGAAGCTGGCATTTCTCCCAGTCGTCTCCACTCAATAACCTTGTTTGTCCCCGTTAGGCTTCTCACAGAATTTCCGAACCAAACATCTCTGCTGATGCTGCGGCTGCACAGGTCTTCAGAGATCTGGTCGCCCCCAATCAAGACAAGACTCTCTTTGGGCTGATAGATACGGCACTGGCTCTTCCCCGGAGTCCGGTTGCAGCAGAAGTCTTCAGACACATTTCGATATACCTCTGTCAAGATGTGATCACACCAAATGTTCTGTGATTGGACCTCTTTGAATTCCTTGAATGTCATCAGGGAAAACTGTACCGTTTTCATGAACTCATCAGCGAGTCTAATCCTTCGACTAGGCTTTGCTTGAATCCATGATACCACAGCATTAAACACAACAAGCTCAGATGAAACACAGAGTGAGTTGCTATTCAGGTACTTCAGGAGCTGTTTGGCTGGCAGGTCCTTGAACTTGGAGGTGTGGGCCACCTGTTGGAACTGCCGAAGGACAAAATCATCTGCAGCTTCAAGAAGATGTGCCATTTCATAGGCTTCAGCAAAAGAGACCACGTCAAGGCAAGTGTGGGCATTTATTTCTTGCTGAAGGAAGCTAAAGCCCAAGGACAGGGCAGGTTGATACTGCAGCTGAAGAGAAAGGCAAGCGATCTCAAAGACACCTGTCCAGTTGAGGGGAAGAGCCCCGTTGTAGGAGCTGCCAATCAGAACTTCTAGATCTGAGGCCAAGAGGAAAGGAAGACTCACACAAGACTGAAGGGACTCTTTCATACCCAACGTAAACATCCCACGGAAGTAGTCGCTACTGACAGCCAGGATAACTCTGTGAACTGGAGAGAAGAAGGTGATGAGTATTAAATACAAATGTTAACTCTGTTGGTACTGTTCAGGTTTAAGCCTGTTCAGGTTTCTAAAGAAAGACTCAGGTGGTTAATTAATGTAAAATTATGAAAACAACTGTACATGCCAATAACTCTGACCTTTCTTGATCTTAGAAAACAGCTGTTAATTTATCTGTTGTGCAACTGCAGACCTTAGTGCAATTTAGCTTACTTTTTTAGGGTAAAGAAATGTTTCAGTCAGGCATCACAAATAGATAAAATAATAGTTCTCAGAGGCCTGTGATCTCCAGTTTCATCATTTGGATATTTCTCTAGTTCCCAGTGACTGAATTGACTAAAAGAAGTAATGTCAGGCTGGGGTGGGGACAATATAACCCTTTTGAAAAAAGCATATGGAGCACAGTCACATCTATATCTTGTAGTACAGTGGCCTATGAAGACTGGCTGAGTACTTACCAAGAACTGATCCACCGATTGCATCCAACCGGACATCACAACCAACTCTGTCCATCCACAACTGTTTTATAGACTCCAGATTGACGCGCATTTGTTCGGCAGCAGAGAGTTTTACCCTTTTATTGTCTTTGCAAAGTAACGTGGGTTTCTCTTCGTACAGGTGACACAGGGCCAAAACTCGAGGGGAGCCCATTGCTCGAGCTGCAACTTGTATCTGGTCAACGTTTTGCTCATTCAAACATAATATGAGTCCAGTGTACGCAAACTCCACCACCGCCTCTAATCCGACACAATCCACTTCTGGACCAAGAGACACTGACCACCCATGGCCTCCAAAAGCGGCGTGAGCAGGTTTATCTTCAGTCACGCTGCTGTTTTCTGCTTTTCTTTCACTCAGTTTTACCCAGATGAGTGAGCTGACAGCAGCCAGGACGGTGGAGTGGACACATATGCTCCGGCCGTCCTCTGTGTTCAGCGTAAGGTCAGTGAGAGTAAAAGAATCCCTGAACTCTTTCAGGGCAAGGAAAACGGTTGCAGGATAATCATCTTTATAGTACATCTTTATAAAACCGTCCTCTTCATTCTCATCCTCATCCAGTGGATCTTCAGATACCACACCATTTGCGTCTTCTTGGAGATTTCCAACATCATATCCAGTCTCTTCTTGAGCTTTCCAAGATTCTGTCATTTTGCTACATGTCAATGTCTTGCTTTTATCTTTGCTGCTCTGCAGAGTTTTATAGTCTTGATTAATAATCCTGTGAGATCTCCGTGATTTGTTGTTCGAACAGTTTAGTTCATCCTGATTCTGTTTCTCAGTACTCTGATCATCTTCATTGCAAACTGATTGCGCTGGACTTAAACATGTGCCGTCACGTTCGCATTTCACACGTCTCTGTTCGCCGTTTTCTTCATTTTGCTGAAAATAATGAAGCCGAGTTTCGTTTATCTGTTTTCTGAGGTCACAGGTGTCATCTGGTTCTCGCCTCAGATGCCTGGTCTCCTCACTTTCATCACCATGCTTTCCGTCCATCATCCTCTCCTTCTCCTCTGGCTCCTTTTCTCTCTCTTCTCTCAAGCCATCAGTTATTTGACTCTCATCTTCTTTCTGTACCTGTTCCCCTTCATCTATCTCCTCACACTCCATAACCTCCCACTCCGTATCGTCTTTCTTGTCCGTCTCGTCTTCTGTATTTGCTTCAGCAATCTCCTCACCTTCCCTTCTTTTCGAGTGATCACTTTTCTCCTCCTTCTCTTTTTCAGGTTCTCCTGCTTCCCTGCTCCCTTCTTCCTCGTTCACCTTTTTAAAGCTGCTGGCATCCTTGCCTTCCTCCTCCGCCTCATCCTCCTTTTCCTCAACTCTCGCTGCAGCCATATCCTGGTAGCATATTCTCCCCCTCCACCGTTTTCTCCTGCTCTCCTCCACCTCTCTCTTCCTTTCCATCGACTCTTTCAGGAGGCACAGATTAGCTCTGTTCCGTCTCCCTGTACTATCTCCTGATAAATTTAATTAGCTAATGCTTTTCAGGCCTTTGGATGCTAAAGGAGAGTGGATCCCTTACTGTTTGAAGTTTTTGAGGAAAAGCTCTGACACAGGGTGCAGGTCGTGGATGTCCAAGTTACAGCCCACAGGACGTTGCTGAGATTGCTGTGTGCTAACTTTGCTTCTCATCCCCTAAGCAGCAGCGTTATATGTTTTCTCTGGTCCCACCTCTCTCTCTCTCTAGCTGCGTGGAAACATTCAAGCAGCACAAATTCCCACAGTTCCTCTTATAACCGAGGTGCCACATATATACAGTGTAACATAAGTAGGTACAATTCTCAGCTGGTTGTCTGTTGTCACGTTCAGACCAAACAGTTTTGGAAGCAGTTGATGCACCAGTTCTTTTGGATGTACGTTTTGCAGCTACTCTTCACGTATTTCACGTCTGGCAACCTGACTGAGTTGCCAGACCTTCAGTTGAGACTCGGTAGCTCAATTTGAAGCAAGACACAATGGGCTGATTCGTCCACTCTAGTCCCGGCAAGCGACTTCACTCTTGCGCCATGAAAATACCCAGAGGGTCAACAGAGGCGTCACGTTTCTCCTTCATGTCCAAGCACTGTGGAATTTGGGTCACAGATCTCGAGGCACAACTGAAAGAAGGGAAAACACACACAGCACCTGTTGGCTCCTTCACTGTGACGTTGACAGTGAGTCGAAACAGGTGGGCGACACTGTAAATCAGACTTGTGTGATGGCATCAGCACTTGAAAGTACTGTTCCCCGTCTTTGAAGTGGACAGAAACACACAACGGATTCCTCGTGGTCTTTATTTCTCAGAAACAAAGCCAAACACTAGGGGTCGCCCCTGTATGCTAAAAGAAAAAAAAAAAACAGGTAACTAATGGAACAATTTACACTGACTCACAAAAGCTGGACAATAACAGATTGAAAAAAACACTGCCTGCTCCCACAAATCATCACAGCCCTTGATAAGCAATGTGGCCAATCATGTCCAACACTTCTAACCACTGCTTCCCCCACTCCACATCGTGTAACTAAAATGATCTCAAGCTGGTTTCTTAGACGTGACGGCGGCTCTCTGTGCTGGATTTTCAAGACCTGCATCATGGATGTGCAGCTGACAAAATCTGCTTGATATATATGACATTGATGAAACAAGTTTCAGAGCAATTCTTCACACGCCTTGTTGACTCTATGCCATGAATAATTAAGGCATATCTAAAGAAAAAAATCAACTATGGGTAACGTTGATGTTATGTTGTTTGCTAACCAAAGAATGTAAAAAAAAATGTAATTGTATACCCTAATATGAGTTTGTTGAAGAAAAATGATTTGGTTTTGTGCCAATGTTTACTAAATATGTCCAACTTCCTCTCCTGGCTGTGGCTCCTTATAAAGCCTTTGCAAACCTCTGCAACAGGCCTCTGATTGCGTCCACACACAGCGAGCCTCTAATCAAATCCTGCTGAAATTCTCCAAAGCTGAAGCGCCGTGTGTGGGCGAAATGGAAGTGAAACTGGTGGGCAATATTTCGCTTCACAAAATGAACTCCTACCTGAGTCCACTGCGGCTGTGTCGCGCTACCCGCCATTCACACGGAAAGCGCAACTCCTGAACAACAGGCGGGCAAATGAGTCCGGCGGTTCTCAGAAATGCACAAACAAAGCAAAACATCTGTGCAGTAAAGTACATTCCACATGTATTATCCTCATGAGTTGGATGTGAGTGGAGATTTTTAAAAATTTTAACTATATTCCTGTTGGACAATAGGTGAGTAGATGTCACGGTAATCTCTTTGTCGCTGACGTTTAAACAGAGAGTTAAACTCTGGGTGTGATCCACTTATGAAAAGTCTTGTTTTCTCTAAGCCATAACAACGGCATGTAGCAAGAGAAGATCTAACCGCGTTACGGGACCCCTCCTCCACAGGCCGTGGCCTCAGGCCCTCTGATGGAGAGCAGCAGCCCAGGCAAAGAGTCTCTCTTTTCTGAAAAGTCCAAGTGCGAGAGCAGATTCTCGTCTCACCGAGTGCCTCGCTTTCAAACTTCAGGATGAAATCGATGGAAAATATGAACATTGAACTGGGCAAATACTGATTTTTCAGGCAACTGTTAGAGGAGGAGAAAATATCAATTTCTATATCATTTAAAAAGCCTACCTTAGAAAAAACAAAACACTGAAACCAGACCAGTGCACTATTCATTGACCTTAGTGAATCAATATTCTGAGCTGCAGTGCAAGTTCAGACACGTTCTTTAAACCACGAGAAGACATAGATAAGAGGACTAGTGGTTACGAAACCTGCTGACCATTCTGGAAGTCAATAGGCAGGATAACGTTCACTGGCGACAAAAATTTAGAGGACTTTAAAAAAATAAAATAAAAAAGCAACTTTATAGAAATTCTGTAAAGGAAAATTTGCAGGAACCTAATCTGAGTGGATAAAAAAAATGAGGCAAAGTTTCATCAGCAGATGGTTGTGTAGCTTGTGTCACCCAATAGCAGAAGAAAAAGCAGGTCAAATTTGCATCGGAGAAGGAAAAAGAAAACGCTGGCAAGCACGACTCTTTCAAGAAAAGCAAGGCTAGCTTAAGCAAGTCTCTGTCAAAGTCTTGCTAAAATTTGATCTGAGTTACTTTTTTACTTCCTCACCACTTCTTGAGGAAATTCTTACAAATCACTTCTATAATAAATCTCAATAGTCTAGTTTTAAGAAACAGGGCAACGTTTGAACAAATCCAAAATTGTGTTTTAACGAATCTGTGATCAGAGTAAAATATGTCCGACTGTTTCATATATTTCGCTCCAACGTCTCTTCCATTATAAAGTGCTCCTTTACAATGGAAACATCATTTCAATTTTTCCATTTCAAGAATAACTTCCCCACAAGCTTAAAACACACATCTTCATATTAAAATTACAGCAAAAGTCCCACGCCGCTTAAATTGTTCAGTTTTGTGAATAAGGAAGTTGCGCTCAATGTCCTCTTCAGAGGTTTTTGTGTCGTTTCCTCCAGTAGTTCTTAGTGCAGCGCCACCGCAGGTGAGGGGAGGAACGTTTCTTTTTCAAAGGGTTTGTTTTGTTGGACTCGGTGCAACGTACACCGGCTGAAAATGTCCCCGATCAATCCCAACGCTGCATGGTGCCCTGAATATATCTTTCAAATGTTACAAAAACTCTTATACTCCCCCCCTCCGCGCTCCGAAACTCAAACCAGACCAGTTTAAATTATTATTTTTTTTTGTTAAAATACAATCTAGTTTTATTGACATTTTATTGCCCCATGAAACACAAAAAATTAATATATGTATACAATGGAAGAAATGCACAAAATACAGCAGGATTGACGACCAAACTAAATTCACAGTACTTAATAGAATACAGTACATGATGATGAATAATAACAACCACTTCTCTGTTCTGGAGAGTTGGACAAAATATTTAAATATCATTCATAATTAAAAAGAAAGAACGTCGTAGAACAAATACAGCATACAGTACAGAGAAGCCAAAATGGCTTTTTTTTTTTTTTTACCAGTTTGCGTTTCTGCTTGTAACAACTAGCATGATTGATTGTCAAGCTTCGTTTTTCTAAACAGCAATCATTGAGATTTATCATGTTATGGGAATGTGTGGATGTGTATGAACTTATTGTACATAGTTACAGTATTTCTTTTTCTAAAGCTTATTTTGTTTTGAGGTCAGCTCATTTTTCCTATGGTTCGGCGTTTTAAATGAATCTTCAAAAAAAGAATCAAAAAAAGAAAAAAAAAAAAGATCCACGTAATCTTGTCATGAAACCGACAGATGTTCGGTAGATTACACACAGCGAATGTGTGTCTGATCTCGGCTGCTATTGCTTTTTAAATTGGGTTGCACGCTATTTAGAGTCCCTGCGCTAATAGAGGATTCTCCTAAGGCGAGGGGTAGGAAGAGGTCATGGGAGGAGGGTAGGGTCAGGGCCAAGGACACGACGAGACCGAAGATCATTAACAGCACTCAGCGCCGCAGGAGGAACAGAGGAATTGCATAGTGTAGCGGCATCGTGCTTCACATGTTTTCCTATCGAGTGTTGTTACCCTGTTTGAAGGTTCCTGAACCCCTTGATACCCCCTTCAACCCCCCCCCACACACACACACACATACACAACCCTCGATGTTGCTCTTGAAGCTCATTACAACGGGGGCCACGAGATGAGAGCTCTATTTTTTACAAACAAGGGGGTGAGAAACTGAAACTTAGCGACCCTAAGCTCCTTGAAAAGATTTGGCCAAGAAGGTGTTTAGAGTCCTTCGATACAACACAATCTAAACAGAAATAATCATTAATATCTATTCAAATTCTTGTTTTTTTTTGGTTTTTTTTTCAATAAGTCATAAAAAATAAGTATGCTATCGGGTACATCATAAGACTCGATGATGTTTGTGCGATGTTTGGAAAAAAAAAAATTAAATTAAAAAAGATTATGCTGTGTCATGTGGCGGTCCAGGGCAGCAGGAATGAGATTATAACGATGACGAGGGAGAGCGAGACGGGCAGCAGGAGCAGCAGCTTGACGGGGAGAGGCAGGGACGAGGGCCACAAGAAGGTCAGCTTGGAGCCCCGGGACCCGTCCGAACGACTCTTCTGCTTCTCCACGTTGGGCCCAGTGATGACGAGCGGCCTCACCTGCGAAACGCTCTCCTGAGGGATGAAAACAGGGCGAAGGACGGGGATCGTTATATTGCGTCTGGACGCACCTGCAGTTCCTCCTTCACTTAAAAACAGAAAAAAGCCTTTCGCTTTTTTATTTTTTTTAAAAATGTTTTTAGAGACCAAGAAATGAAAGAATCAAAGCAAGTTTGAAAAATGTCTTATAATATGATCGATAAAAGGAGTAAAATTAAGAATCATTCCAAGGATTTTGCTGTAGAACCAAAAACAACTCAGACTGTGGGTTTCATAGTAGAAGTCAGATCTTGTGAGTTGGTCCTGTTTGAGTTGTATTTATTTACACCATATGAAAAAAATTAATGTAGGATTAATTGGACAGCAAAAGGGGGTTAATAAATCCTTTTTTTTTTCATTTTACAGAATTTGAACCAGCTGAAGCTAAAACTAAACTACTTCAGGAGTTCTGAGTGAAACATGATTGTAGGCAAAGAATTTTTTTATCTTAAATGCAACATATTATATATATGTTTTTGTACAGCTTCGGCTCTAGTGGCCTTTTTTTTTGTCTGTGTACTGCAGTTAACAGTGGATTATTAAATTACTTGACATTTATGTCAATAAACTATTAGTCATGCTTAACATGACTAGTAATGTTTGCCCTACTTGCTACCATGCTATTGACTTTGCTTCAAACATTGGGATTTAAATGGAAATAAAACTATGACATACGTTTCAAATTTTATGAGCATAAGACGCCGCAAAGTCAAGTTGAGTGAACTGAAGCCGTTTTTCTCTCAGACAGAAATTTTATGTAATTATAGCAAAGACGTTGACTAATCATCTGATGACTTAAAATAGTAACAAGGCTGCTGTTTTGTTTTTGTTTTTTTTTTTTTATAAAATCAACATGCTATTTAAACTATTGATATAAAGCACATGTTTAGATTTTCTGGCTTTGATTTGAAGTGCTTCTGCCCTTTTCCCAAAACAAGTGCCTGGCATTTATTCGGTCTCATTATGACTGTTTGGCTGTGGAAACAAAAAACTCCTGTCAAATCCCACCTGCGCTGACCGGACAGTATGAACCGGTCAGCACAAATGGACTTTTTCACTATCCAAATGTCCGACTCAAAACAAAAGACTCAAAACAAAAGAAAAAACCACATAAAATATGTAAATGAGTGTTTTGGGTGAGAGCAAAGAAGAGAGATAACACAGATGCAAGTCAGGTTACAAATGCTAGGAGATTACATAATCAGTATGTCACTGGATCATAAATACCAATATAAATATGTTAAAAAATACATTTAAAATAAAGTATGATAAACAAACAAGCTCAGGTCAGAATGCTCAGCTAAACTATGAAAATGGTGAAATTCGCCTAGCTGTGCACTCTGTTAAATCAGACAGGAGCTCTGATGTGCTGATACGCTCAAATAACAGGACATTAAAATAAACACTGGAAAATTCTCCCTGTAGACTGAAAACAAGTCATCATTCAGTCCCCTAGTAGGACAATCACCAAAAACATGAGGCCAAACCAATACAGAAATGGTTCACCTAACACAAAATCAACTTTTTTCCACGACTATTTTATAAGGAGAGGAGAAGAGCAGACGGAAATCACAAGTGGGGTACTGCAAGGTTCAAACCTGGGACGCCTGCTATTTAATATCTACATCCTCCCACTAGCTCTGGTTGCGACAGGAAATAAGATTAGCTGCCATAACTACACAGATTGTACACAGCTGTACAGCACAGTATCACCAGGTGACTCTGATCCCAATCGAGCACTAAACTGATTCTTAGAACAGATTGACGTGTGGATGTGCCGCAACTTTCTCCAGCTGACTAGGAACAAAACTGAAGTTATTAGTGTTGGACCTAAAGAGGAACGATCAATGCACAGCTTCAGTGATTACAACTAGAAACAAGCGATCAGGCCCAAAATCTGTGTGTTGATGGACTCTCACTTGAGCCTTCCGAGCCACATAAAGACAGTCACAAAGTCGGCCTTCTGTCACCTGAAGAGCTTAAAGAACTCGTGTTGCAGCAAAATCTAGAGAAACTCATTGACGCTTTTCCCTGAATCAAAGTGTAAAACACTTTGCACTTGAGGAGAAGAGAGAAGACTCAGGCTTCTACATCATCCTGCGTTAAAGAATGGTTAATGAAATCAATCATCTAGATGATCGTCCCTCTACCTCCAGGATGGTCCTGCTGTGTGCTCTGTCGGGACTGAGCCGCAGGTTCCAGCGATGGCTTTTGTGGCTCCGCCCTCCGTCGTCCTCGCTCTCCGTGGTGTCCTGGCGCGCCACGCGAGGACGTTTGCGCCTGCGCGAGCTGATTCGCTGGAGGGAGCTGTGCTCCTGGATTCTGAACCAATCAGACTTGAGGTCAAAACATTATAAGGGAGAAAAAAAAAAAAAAGTACAAGCCAAGCAAAACATGGCAAAGAGATCCCCCGTAAAACCAACCTGCAGTCTGTGTCCTCTATGTCAGCATCTGCATCGCTCTCTCCCTGAGGGTCGGATAACGCGCACTCCTCCTGCGGCGCAAAGGAACATTAAAATACATTGCCTTCAAAATGCAAGTCGTTGTTCGATTAAGAAGAAAACAAGAAGACGGTGAATCACGGGCATTGGTTGTCACAAACAACCTGCGGTGATGGCATGTGTCCGACCGCATGTGCTCATGTGTGACTTTTCATTATGTCACGGTTGTTAATATGCATGAGCCAGCTGATGCCTCCTTCGGTAGCATGACCAATGAGCTCACCACTTATATAAATGTCATCCTATTTATATCCCGGCAGTATCGATCACCTCTGGAACAGTTGACTGAACACCTCAAAATGTTGACCGACTTCTGCATTGAACTGTCGTATGAAAGGGAAGGTTCTTAAAACCACGACTCTCCCATTTGGGGCCAGTTAAACCAAAAGTGATCGAGTAGTCAGAGGTGGTCTGAACTAACTTTGGAAGGCTTACTTATCGCTAAACTATGGCCCACTTAAGAATTGCTATTGTATGATTTATTTAGCCAAAGTTTCTAGATTTCTGTTTGGTGAAAAAATAAAGAAAATATATTGACAAGATGTGAAAAATTTCAAGGATCCTGAATACTTTTCCAAGGCAATGGAGATCTGACGTGTTGGGACCTTCAGCATAATATAGAAAGCTCAGTTTATAGGGTGCTTTAGCTAACTGATATCACGCAAACATATTTGCACACACACACACGCACACACACACACACACACACACAGACACACACACACACACACACACACACACACACACACACACACACACACACATATGCTATATATTACCTCAGTGCCATATCCCTCAGAGTACCTGGTTAACATGACTCTGTTTTTTCCACAGTGTTCACACAGCAGAGTACCCTGACAACAGAAAAGCAAGAAGACAGCCGAGAGTGACTGATCCTGAAAGACACTTTGAGGGAAAAAAGCACACACACATGCATATACACACACAACGCATATACACAAACAACGTGACGGCTGTCAGCTCTGAGCTGTTCCTGTAAAACATACAGTAGAAAAACAGGAGCAGCAACAGAGACGCGGAAGACGTCGGCGGGAGGCGAAAGGCACGCGTTTACATGCAGAGTAGCGCTCTGAGCGGCGCGGCGTTTTTGCTTCGCCGCGCGCGCCGCAGACACTTAAGCGGGAAGCCTGAGCACTCACCAGCGTAGGCGCGTGTGCTTCTGAATAAAGTGTACAGGGACCAGCCTCGCACAGGCACACTACATCTACCTCTTCACAACTCGCCCCCATCTGAGACAGAGACAAAGACAGAGAGGATGAACCGGTGACTCTTTGATGCCTCTCACCTCCTTTTACTGCCTGCCAGCGGCAGATTAGCAGAGCTGCATGAAGGAAGTTTCAAGATGTTGCCTCCCAAACTTTTTTTTTTTTTTTTTTTTTTTTTTTTTATTATGCATCTCCTAATGGCTCTGTGATGTAACCTTTTCCACCTACTTGTATTTTCAAGAACTGAAAACCGGGCGCTGATTAGACCGCCTCTGCCAGACGCTGCAAATCATGAATGCTTAAAAACCGGGGTAATTAAGCCGAGGAAATAATTAACATCACATCCACTTATCATACAAGACACTTCTTTGTCGATTACATAATAGTCAATTTTTTTTTTTTTTTTTTGAGACTGAGAATTGGATATTGACCTCACAAATTATTAAAATTTTAGTCAAGTACATTAGTTTGTGATTGCAGTGTTCAATAACGCAGGCATTTCAACAATATAAAGGAAGTTTTTGGGGGGTAGTAAACGCTGCATAAACATTTGATTTGGAGAATTTTGCTTAAAATTTTCAGCTAACCATTATTTTTGTCTGTCAACATTGAGCAACATTGGAAGGGTGATATGTTTACATGGGCTGTATTTAGGGGTGCGCCGATCAATTGCCCCGATTTCCTTATTTGTGGGGCAGGGTTCCGATATCTAAGCTGATATCAGATGATACTTCGATTTTATCCACTAAGCCTATCTACCTCAGTTTCTCAGTTTGACTGTGGATGCTGTTTGATTAGGTGTTAGTATTTTATTTTCGTGACACAAATGGTGTCCTCCGAGTTCACTTTTTGGTAGCTCTTCTTCTCCTGAATAAAAGTGGGGTTTATTCAGGAGATGGCTGTTGGGAGGAAGTTGCTGAAGCAAACCTGTCAATATTAGAAAATTGTTTTGTAATGAGAATTTTCTCACAAATGATTGTTTGTTCAAAATACAAAGCTTCAACATTAAATGACCTTTAATCATAGTTTTTTTTATTTAGCAAAATAAAATGCATGCAATTTGTCACCTGAACATTATAAATTACATTTTAAGTCACATGAAAGCTTGTTGGGTGTCTCAGCTTCTCAGATGTGATGTAACGTCAAAAATCTAGGTAATCCAAAAACAAGTTTTGTGCAAAAAATAAAAATTATAACAAAAAGAAAGGATTTAGAGCCTCACCTCACAGTCATTATCGGATGTCTCTCCAGAGGTAAACAGGCTGTGGGCGTCAGACTCCCTCCGCAGCATGACCTCTGACTGGGATCAGACACTTACATGGACCTACAGGGAGGGGAAGAGGAGGGATTATCATTTTCACTGACTTGACTTTGTCATGAAAATGATTTATGCTGACACTCTTTTATTTCATTTTATCTTTCTGAGTGCTCTACTTTTCTCTTCTTTTTTTTTAACAATGATTCACTGATGGATTGCAGAAAGCAGCATTGCAGTGGTGTCGAAGTGATGCTGTCTTTACGCAAACAGCGGGGTTTGTCATCACGGCACCTCTCTAACATCTGCTCGGCACCGTCCGCACACCCATTACGTAATAACCAACGAGCATCGGCGTTCTAGGCAGCCTGAGAACTTTTCCCATAAAGAAGAAGAAGAAAAAAAACGCGAACATAACAAGGGCTCTCTATTCATTAAAAACCGACACATTCCAACATATTATTTACTCAATAAGTACTCAGTGTTTCCGGCATTTCCCCCAACTGTGACATATAACAAAAATAAGAGCGGAGTGACCCATCTTACCCGATAAAGCATCGCAGGACAAACAGAACAAACCCATAAAAGGTCGGCGGAGCTGCGTTTCGATTAGAGAAGGAGCCGGCGCGCGCGGCAGCGCGTGGCATCGTGGCGCGGAGAAGCCGTGAGCTCGCGCTGGTCGCTCATGTTTGACATTGTGGCGAATCCTCTGCGTGATGTCAGCTAGGCGAGCGATGACAGGCAGGCGGGCGGGCGGGCAGGCGGGCGGCTACAGTCGCGGGGAGGCGCGCGCCTCACGCTCACACACAGGTGACGCACACCGAGCCGCCGCCGCGGGAGCGCGAGACCAGAGGTTGGTGCGACTTCCGTTCGGACGTGGCTTTCAAAATAAATTGGACCGGATGGAATTAGAACGAGCTGAAAACAGTGACACGTGGACGTTTCTTCCTTTTTACAGCTTATTGCTGTATCATGGCGTGTAATATGTGATAAATATCTCAAACTTGTCTCCAGCATTTATATATCGATATGTCGAGTTTAGTTTTAAAGACAGAATTCTGATGAATTTGTCTTTATTTCTGCATGGAGTAAATGAAACAATAAAAATCGTAAAAACAAACAAACAAACAAACAAACAAGTTTTATCAATGTTAAATCCACATTTTGAAATGTTTTTATTGTGAAATAATTCCTTTGATTTCTTGTGAGATATTTTCCTTTAATACTTCAAATTATGAAGATATTTTTTTAAATAAAGAAGGACACCATCTTTGTTTCTTCTTCAACAGCAGTCTTTTAAAAATCAAAATCTGCAATAAGATGCGACTCGAACAGATGCAGTACACATGCCGGATACTGAGATCAAAGCTGTTTTCGATCAACTTGTAATCGGTGTCATCTTGTCAGCGTTACCTTATGGATGTCACTTTATCAGGACAGTGAAAAAAAAAAACACTGGTATGTAAAAAGAGCTAAAATTTGTCAGATAAGAAGAAGACCTGGGATGGACGAGCCAGAACCCGTCTAGAGCCAGAACCCGTCCAGAGCCAGAACCCGTCCAGAGCCGGCCTACTGCTCCGTCTGGCTGAAGTCGTAGCAGAAGTTGTAGTTATTCCCACATGCTGTTATATGACATAGTTCTCGAACGATGTGTTCTGTCATATAAATATTGATTCCTATACTTTTTGAAGGACCAGGGGGAAAAAATCATTGTGGATCAAAGACAAGGATACTATAACCAATTATAGGAAAGGAAACCTAAAATAAAACATTTGGAGCAGCTGCTTGAAGTGCTCTGTTACTCCCCTCACTGTGGATCTGAATAAAATTGTGATTTTATCAAAAGGACCGAGTACGTTCAGTGCATGCAAAGAGGAAATTGCCAAAGAAATTGTTTACCTTGTGTTGTGAGACCAGATAGAATCAATTTTTAATCACGGGGTTTATGAGTTTGCAGAGTGTTTTACATAATTGCGTATGGAGCATTATGTGACTTTATGGGTGTGTTTAGAAAACTGTTCATAGACTGAGTGACGCTTGAATTGAGAGTGCATGTGGATCTAAGGGACTCAAGGTTTTTTTTGTTTCACCTTCCATTTCAAAAACTTGAAATGCTGCATTCCCTCTACCTTTGCTTTGCAAAACATCTTAAAAGTGGTTCTGTGAACCCTTAAATCATCTTTACCAAAGAAAGGCGCATACCAGCCGGACATGGAATTGCAGGTCACTGCTGCCGCATCTCATTGTTGCACTGAATACGTGCTTGCGAGGCAATGTGGTACACTGGTATGTTATTGTCTTTGAGGAAAATGAGACGTTTACTTGAAGTAAATGGTCGAAGCGTTGAGTAACGCGAACCCGTGGAGACACGTAAAGTTTTCGTGGCGGCAGAAATGGGGTCGTGATAAAAACAAAACGAGACCAGGCTTGAGTTTTAGAAAACTTCATTTAAACATGTTGCAAGAGCGTCCCACTTCAAGCTGACCTTTCAAATGACAAAATCAAAGTTCAGTTTTTTGTGACACTGACGTCTTAAAAACCCTCAAACATGCAGCAACGACATGCGATTTTTGTCTTGATCTTTATCTCGGTGCTTAGAGTCAACCTACAGTCGGTTTAGTAGCCATGTTGGGACCTGCAATAGAGAGGAAGAGGCGGGAGGGGAGTTGCAAACATTTATTTAAACACCCACTACCACAGAGAGACACACCGAGACACAGAGCATCCTCACACCCCAAAATTGCTTTTCTCCCCACAGAAAACGTGTCGCTTTCTGTCAGGGCGCCACATCGTCCCCACAACTCTGCAGCTGCACTTATCGGGTCTGGCAGCTGGAGCCTGGCCAGAACAAGTCTGCTGTTTATTTGTGAGCAAAAGCTGTCTATGGGAGGCTGGAGAAGTAAAACTTTAGACACTCCAGAGACAAGCAGTGAATATGTATATTTGGGAGCAGACTTTTAAAATGCAGTGCTGATAAATAAATGCCTAAACGATATTAAAGTCCTGCAAATGGAGCTCATTTTGACTGAATTCTCCCATGAGTCCTGCTGCCGCCAGCAGACAGCAGGGCTACTGAGTGAGATAAAGTGTAATTACGAGAGACCTAATGGCAGAGGGAGGGATCCTCATTAAGGTTGCATGTGGACCGTGCAAAAGACCCTTGGGGACAAACCAAATACTGTTTTAGAGACCGTTCTAGTATCTGGCAGTAGTCCTTAAGTTTTTTCACATTTTGCCTCATCAACTCAAAGTATTTTATTGACATATAATGCGCCTTGTGCAAATATTTTGCATAGCCAGCGTTGCGTCGATAGAAATGCAACTATCAGAGGTCACAAGCCGGTGATTCCTCGTACAAGTCCCAACCCTGGAAAATGCAGAGGGTTGTGTCAGGAAGGGGAATCCAACATAAAACCTGCACCAGATCAAATACGTGACTCACAAACATCAGTTCTGTACCGGATTGGTTGAGGACGGGGTCAATAATGCCCTCCAACGTCAGAGTTGTTGCTATTTACTGCAGTGAGACTCCATCTGATAGGCAAAATATACTATTTATGTGAGATTATGACATGTGGAATGTACTACTCATAATATTATGCACACTGACAATACATCGGAAGCCCTGTACTTTGATCTTTTGCACCAATAACTAGCTTCTCCCGCATGGTCTCATCTGACTAGGACTTGTTTGCAGTGTCCTTTACCTGGCTTTCTTTCAAAACAAGTAATGAGTACTGATATGACAATAGCACTGTACTCCTTTCAAGAGAATATTTGCTGCATATTAGGAGCAATTCTGCTCATAAAAAGTTCAGCGACCTACTTAAAAAAGAACTTGTGTAAGAACAATATGTCTTCATAAAACTGACAAAGGAAATTGCTTGAAAGCAAGATGTGCTCTTCTATGTGTGTGTGTCAACTGAAAAGGACGGAAGTAACAGATCTGAAGAAGGAGATAAAGAGCCTTGTATATACACCACGATACCAACAACAAACAGGAGATTCGGCCTCGATAAGGAAATGAAGGAAAAGGGCGCAGCTCAAATAAACCATAACCGATGCGCCAGTGCATCCCTCGCTCTCCAACCGAAACGCTCGCCAGCCGTTGCTTCTGGACACACGCGGGGAGATGAAAGTCAGGGGGCATTTCTGCGGAGGCATTTCTGAACGAGCAGCAGGGAAAGGCATTCCGTGAATTTTCTCATCAGAGTCGGAATCAGGACTTAAACACAGCCCATCAAGGCTCACAAGAATTCTCTGAGGTTGCAGAGCTCTGCTGCAAAAGAACAACAGCGGACGTTTAGATCAGACGCTTCCAATCCGAGGGAACAAACACGACACCCGAGGCAATTACAGGTTACGGTGGAGTGAGGATCGGCCAGAGGTGGCTCAGAAATTGGGATTCTGGGCGTGGGAGCTATGCGCTCCTGTGGTGGACAAGTGAGGCAGAGCATCCACAGATGTTCAGATGGAGATTTAGGGTCTGTGAAGTGGAGGCTGACTGCGCAGTGAGAAGAGTTGGAAAAGCAAGGAGCTCTTTTTCTATGAGGAATGAAGGGCACAGAAGACAAGGCCTGGTAGATCCCCAACGAGACTTTCGTTTGTTTTCAGGATGAAGAAGAGGTATGCCTTTTGGAGTCAGCTGAGGAAAAAATAAGTTCTTTGAGTTCCTTTTTTTTTAACACATTCACTACTTAAAGATACCAATGAAGGAATCGGATCAAATCAAAGACCTGACCTATGATTTTGACCAATCCTGGGACTCAATCATTAAACCGGCCGCGTGCCTTTGCCTCAACACCTTGGATTTCTCTGACCTCTTTGATGAAGATGACAGCGAAGAGGAAGAGCGGCTCCTTACATCACCACCAAGTCAACACCTGTCCGTGGCACCTCCTCCGCCGCCTCTTCCTCCACCTCCTCCTCCACCTCTTCCTCCACCTCCCGCTTTACCTTCACCGTCTAAAGGTGCAGGGATTAAGAGCCACACCCTGAAGCTTCACTGGAGGGAACTCCAGAACCTCAGCCCGCTTCCCCGGATGACGCGCTTTGGGAAGCAGACTATATGGGCCGTGCTGGAGCCAGTGCAGTTGGACACGAACCGTCTGGAGTATTTGTTTGAGTCTAAAGCCACCAGCACCAGTTTTATGGTGGTTTCTGGGCGGCAGGTGAGAATGATAAAACCCTTGAAAGCAGGACTACTGTAATGACTTCTGTCTGTTTCTAAGTGTTTTATGAAAAGACAAAATGCAAAGTGTATTATTGTCAACCAAGCATAGCGATCTGCTTATGTCAGTCCCTACAGCTGATTCAGTAAGTCCCTATGTGTGTAGAGGGTTGGATGTTGCAATAGCTGAATTTCCATTACAAAGGTGCACAAAAAACTTGTGGCCGTTCCACTAATGTCAAAAACACACAATTTCTCATTTCCATTACAGCAGCAGTATGCAACAATTACAAATATTATGTTTCTTCCATATTTGTTCAAACTGTCACCATGTAGTGAGTTTCATATGAGACAGACGATCTATAAAAAGATTGGGTGACTTGTGATTTCTGAAGTCAGTTGGTCAATAAAAATGGTTCATCACCAGGTACATTTTATCTCCAATGTTCAGATTTCCTGCGTTTTTTTTTTTTTTTTGTCTTCTTTGAATTTAGGTCAAAACGTTGCTGTTGTTGTTTTGGGAAAAATTAGTTCAAATCTATGGAAGCCCATTCATTCCATTTTGATGAAGACAATAAATAAATGTGCATCTCACAGTTTAGGTATCTCATTACCAGAGTGGGTGAAAGTCATAATTATTAGTTAGTTTTTCATTCTTATGAGAACTTATAAGAATAGTCATGTCATACTTACTGGAGTCAAGTTGTTGTGTTTTTTTTTTTAAATTGTGGCAGAAGTTGATATCCATATCCTTTGAAGGATTTATATGATTTATAAAATGATGCAAGCATCTAAATATGTGTCTAATTATAAATTATAAGGGAACAAAATCTAAAACGTACTGCATCATAATAATAGTGCGTTTCCCTTCAACAGAAGCAGTCGTCTATTTCAGTGCTGGGCATGAAGCGCAGTAACATCATAACCATCGCCCTGAGCAGCCTTCCTCCACCTCGCCTCCTCCCTCCTGCTATCTACAGCATGGACAGCAGCGTGCTGGACAGAGAGGACATTCAGGTACGCCCGCCCTGTATCTCTGACCTTGGGACTCGTGCTCCGACAGGGCGTTTGAACTGTTTTCACGTTTCCTCGACAACAGCGACTTGAAGCTCTGACCCCGACAGAGGAGGAGCTTCGTCTGATCGGCGAAGCCAAGGCCCAGAACCCCGACGCTCCCCTGGCCCAGGCTGAGCTGTGCCTGCTCACTCTGGGGGAGATACCTCACCTGAGTACGAGGCTTCAGCTCTGGGCCTTCGCTCTGGACTACGACTCCTTAGAGAAGGTAGACGGAAACAACCATGCCTGTGATGACTGTCACTTTGATCTGATCTCAGAATGGCATGAAAATGTCCAAAGCCTAAAAAAAAAAAAACACAGAACCTTCTGGCTCATCAACAGTACCGTTAAAAACCATATGTCCCATTGAGTTATTTTCACATTTGAACCACAAAATTCAATGCATTTTAGACATGGACTAGCTAAAAAACAACAACACAAAACAAATTGTTGCTAATTGCAAATAGATCTTATTTGACATTGGAAATGCTGATGCTTTGCCTTCTTTTTAGATTTTGTCTCTAAAAACAACTTGCTTGCAAATTAGTGACCAACAAGTTTCTAACTCTAAACCAGGTGTGTCAAACTCCTTTTCGTTTTGGGCCAAATCAAGATCATGAAGGCTTTCAAAGGGCCGGTTGTGCCAGAATGTGTTGATAAAACCTGTTCACAAACTGTTAATATGTCAATAAATTCTTAAAATTACATAATATTACTGAACATGTTTTCAGTCCCTTCAGGGACTAATAATAAATGTGACTTTTTATTTACTTGCTGTATAAATCATGGACTATAATCATACTTCAACTAAATTCTCAAGAAACTGGAGCGATTGATTGACATAAATTGACAGTAAACAGATAAAAACTGCATTGATATGATTGAAACTTAGTGTTTAGTCTAGATTGTGGTGGAGGGCCACATAAAAAGCTACAGCAGGCCGGATTTGGCCCCCGGGCCTTGAGTTTGACACATGTGCTCTAAACCAACAAGAAACTAATTTGCTGACTTGTTAGAAAGCTGCTAATGGCAACTAGCTAAATATTACAGCAACATGTTCTGGTCAGATGGTTTCCTCTGACCGGAACATCTTGCCACACTACGTTGTGTAGGTCTATATAAAATCCTTGACTGTAACAACTAATGAGTTCTTCTGCAAGGCACAGTGTGTTTTTTAGTGCCCTCTATATGTGTGTGCATCCATTTCGTAGGAAATCGCTGAGCCTCTGTTCCACCTAAAGCTGGCCATGGAACAGCTGGCCGGCAGCCAGACCTTCAGGTGCATCCTAGCGACCGTGTTGGCCATCGGCAACTTTCTCAACGGCTGTAAGGTGAGGGAGCGCGATGGTGAGTTTCACTTTTCATTTCTACCTCATTTGGTTCATGCGCGACAAGAGATTTCATCTCCCCCAAGGCCCGTGGCTTTGAGCTGAGCTACCTTGGAAAGCTGTCCCAGGTGCGAGACACGCACACGCGCCAGCCGCTGCTGCACCACGTCTGCGTGCTCCTGCTGCAGCTCTACCCACAATCCTCTGACCTCCACTCTGACATCACCGCCGTCACTAAAGCCGGCAAGGTGCGCCCCGTGGGAAATAACTACAAAACAAGCAACGGAAGGCAAAAAAAGTCCCATTTGGTTCTCAAAGGTTTCCCTCATCTCTACAGTGTGACTACACTCTAGTCCAGTCCAACTTTGTGCAGCTGGAGGCCATGTGCAAAGCATCATGGGAGCAGTTGAAGGTTCTGGAAAAGGCTGAGGAAAAGAAGAAAGGAGGAAAGGGAGATAAGCGGAAAGGGAAAGACGTGGAGATGTTCGCTCCAGAGGGTTCGCTTCGTCACAAACTGCCCAAGATCTTGAAAGAGTGCGAGCAGCGGCTGAAGGTCCTGAGAGCCGTCCACCGCCGGGTCATCAACAGGCACGCTGCACACGTCTCCCGCGCACCAAACTCTGATCGTCGTTGCCCGTGATTTAGAACTTACCGTTTTCCATCTTTCCTTCTTCAAGGTTCCACTCGTTCCTCATGTTCCTGGGTTACTCCCGAGCCATGGTGCGCGACACCAGAGCGGAGGACTTCTGCAGGACCATCAGCAACTTCTCGCTGGAGTACAGGTCTATGAGGCAGGCCGTCCTCATGCAGAGGGAGCGGGAGAGGGAGCGGCAAAAGATCGGCGGTGAAAGCCTGGGGCCCAGCACGCCTGTGGGGAGGAGGAAAGGTCAGCAAACTCCAGCGTCACAGGTTGGTGTTTCAAACACTCCCAAACCAAACCGTTCCGACATATTTACCTGTTAAAATGACAATTTGTCAGAAAGGACCATGTGAAATGCGTATAGTCTCTCTTCTAGAAGAGGTGAATGAACTGCTTTTGATCCGCCATGCAGGAAAGCGATGAGCAAAGCCGCCTGGAGGAAGTGCTGAGAACGCCGGAGTCCGTTCCAAGGAAGGATGGGACTTTACCACGAAACCGCCGACGGGTGGCTGACATCAAAGGTATTTCACACGTTCTTGTTTTATCCTTACTCTGATCAGTTTTTCTGCTTAATTTAACGCGAGTTTACTATACGATTCGTTGACTTGAGTGCCCATTTGTTTCTATTTCAGATTCGCTTTCAAGAAAACTGAAGGCATGACCTTGCTGACGTTCCCTTTTAGTCACTGGAGAAAGTTATTTATGACGTTACACTGAACTGTTGATCTCTGATATTCCCATATATTACAGCCGGTGCATTTTGCGTCAGAGCTTTTATGGGAAACTTAGCTTCGAGTGTGAATTCTGTCACTTTTGTCACCTGCATGCGTCAAACTATTGCGCTTGTTGTTTTAATAAGCAGCTAAATCTGTGTGAGTGCGACCACAAACGCCAAATGATTGCATTTTCTTTTGCTTTTTCTTTTTTTGGGAAAAAAAAAATTTTATGAAGAAAACTGATGCTAATAGTTTAGATTTCAATTTGCTAAAGCAACAGCTAAAGCTAGATGTTTACATTGTGTGACAGTAAAAAAAATTGCATTTGTATGATATTCTAATTCGCATTTAGTGGTCATAAATTGCTGTTGTTTGTAATAAACTGATTTATTTTAAAAAATATGCATATTAACATATGTGTGTTTAGAGAAAATAAATAAAATGATTTACCAAAGGAACAATGCTTGTGTTGAATCTGAGCTTTAAAGGATGAATAAAACTTAAAAATGAGAATGCCCAACTGTTTTCTAAATAATAAAAGGCTAATATTTAAATTTTATAGTGTGTAGCAAGTGCAGTCACCTGTAAAGGTAAAAACAAAAAACAAAAAAAACAACACAATTTTATGGTAGAAATGAGCAAATCTTTATATGCAAACTCTTTTACGCTTCAAAAAGTGTAAAAATAAATAAATTCACATTTTGTAACCATTGCCAAGTTTAATTTTGTTATTTTGTGAAAACATAAATTATTAGTCAGTTTTTACGAATCTAAATTTTGAGATGAATCACTACAAGAATGAATGCTAGTTTGTTTCTAACTCAAAATAGACAAAAAGTACAATCTCTGGCCTTCGTGTTGAGTTTTAGTCTTAAACATTCCTCACCTTAATCGTCTTTTGTTTACGTTTTTCGGGCTTAAACTTTCTCACGCCGTCATTTGCGTCCAGCGACAGCGGTTGGCAGACGTCTCTGTTGACCGACACGTCCGTCGAGTGTCGCGACCAATCCGAGAGGGACTTTCACCGGAAAGGGTGGGGCGGAGGGCGGTCGAGAGGTCCAATCGGAAGCCAGGAATACGAAGAGGGGGCGGGGCCAGCTCTGCTCACAATGTGTGTGCGGAGTCGACGCCATTTCGTGTCAGCCGGTGTCGAGGTGCTTCCTACACAGTAAGCGGACGACCCAGCTCCCGAGTAAAACAAGCGTTCAGTTGTTCTCATTTTTAGTGTTAAGGTCCTGGTGAGTATTTTTAAACAAGAGGTTTTTTGCGCTTTTTTTTCATTTTTTTCCTGAATTTTGAAGCGTCTCTGGGATATTTTTTTAAGTGTTATTTTTTATTTTTTTTTGAATTGCTATTTTTTTCTGGCTGGTTTTCCCGAGGCTGTGTTGACTGGCTGGCTGACTGTTATGGCGTACATTTTGTGACGGCAGTAACAAAACTGGTTTGCTGTTAATGTTCACCTCGGTGTCTTTGCTCTTGTGGGTTTTTTTCTATTTTAAACCTCCATTTTTCAGGCGTGTTGTGTTCTCTTGTCGTGTATCCTGACTGTTGGCTCGTTTTCATGCAGAGAAATGTGGAGGATTGTCCCCAACTGTTTTTTTTTTATTGTTTTTTAAACCGGCTTACTCAAATCTCTGGAATAATCATTTTTATGTTGCTTTTTCATCAGCCAGAAAAAAAAAGGTTTACATTTCTTGAAAATTGGTGTTTTTTTTTTTTTTCAATTTTCTTTTGTAGTGATTGCTGAGGCTTTTATGTTTTCCTGCAGAGGAATGATGTCATTTTTCAGGCATTTTTCAAGGACATTTGCACAATCAACAAGTTTGGAGTTCTCTTTGCATAGGCGCCACGTATTCTTTTTTCCTTTTTGGCAATATTGGTATATTTAATAAAGCGATTTTTTTGTTTGTTTTTTTCCCCGAAAAGTACTATTACAAGAGAGGCGTTGAAGGGAGCTTTTGTGGAGGATAATTGCAATTACCCAGTTTGTTTTTGAGCATGTGACAATAAAGTTATTTCTATTTCGAGGTGTGCAGATGTTATGACCCTAGAGCTCTATCAGGATCGAAATGGCTATCTGTGTGAGTGTGACCAGAAACGCCAAATGATTGCATTTTCTTGTGCTTTTTCATATTTATGTAAAGTTTCACCAGCAACAGAGGCACTCTGTGTGTTTTTCCTGTTTTTCACCCTATATTTTTATTATAATTACTATTTGAATGACAGAGTGTTTGATTTTAGTCCATAACAATATTGATTAGAGACAATGGATTTAAAAAAAAAAGAATATATTAATTGGTTTGTAGTTATTCCAATGGATTATATAAGTGGAATATATCATCCCTTGTCACAAATACATAAACATGAGTTATTCCTTATATTAAACTTGACATTATTGAAAGGGGTTCAAGAAGATTTCATCCACAGAACCAGCCGCTCCATTAAGTATTTTGGAGGGATTCACTAATATATAAATTCAAGACGCTGTTAATATTAGCGTAATAGCCGACAACCAACCTGTACAGCTCGCCAGTGTGTCCCATAAAACAAAGCTGATTAAATGCAGTGTTTTGAGAGCACAGTATTTTGATGACCATTAATCTCATAATTAATGAAAATATTTTAACTATAAAAATACTCGAGCCATGCTTTATAAGTACTAAATGTTGCTAGTTGGTGTGAAATGGAGGTGAGGAATGCAACGGCTCATGAATTGGCCAACCGACCCACAGGACCTTTACATTAAATGGCTTTTTATGGTATGAAATGGTAGCACCGCTTGAATTAAGGACTATGCCACAATAAACAACACTAGTTTTAAAATATGTGTTTGTATTTAACAGTGACCGACTCCTGGTATAGAGTTGGTATGCAATACATACCAACTGCAATACATGGAAACTGTTTGGGTCCTTTGCCCTTGGTTTGACCTACCTTCCTGATAAACACTGTACTCTCATCACCTGTTTGGTATAGAAACTTTATATTTCTGTGATATATACCAGGAGTGACTAACTCCTGGTATGTATTGCATATTGCTGGTATGTATAACATACATACCAGCAATATGCAATATTGCTTTTGGCCGTTTCATACCCAACTTTTTCAGGAACCAACAGAAGTTGTCTGTCATGGGCCTTTTCCTACCACCTTCAATTTATGCCCACTGAACCTTTTGAATATTTTGAATTCCACTTAACAAGCCATGATTTACAGTCATTTGCTGAAATCTTCCAATAGTCTTATTGTTTTTTGGGGGGGTATGAAGAAGATGTCTATACGGAGTTACTGTTACCCCGTTTCCACTGAGTGGCGCAGCACTGGTCAGTGCAGTTCTCTACCCCACCATGTCGTCCGGTGTAGTCGAGCAATTCCTCTGCCAGTCGAACTCTCACTGTTCAGTCGAGGCGAAACCCAAACGCTCAACATTGCGTCATACTAGTGTGACGACAAACGTGGCGCAGCAGTATGCCTCATGCTTGATGCCACCGGTGACAATCAATGGACTGTGCTGTCCAACCATATCTTATCACTTTCCTATGGACCTACAACTGAAATGCTGGCCCAAGAAGGGTGTGTCATAGAGGTCTGTTGAAATCACTTTTACAAAACAGTGTGAGGAACTGCACTGACCCATACCACACCGTATCCCTCTGACGGGAAGTCATCTGTACTCAATGGCTGCTCAAGCCACGGACCATGAGCCATGCTAGCTGCAGCAGCTTGCACAGTTGAAGCACTAACTCTATATTCATACATACCACAGACACAGAAAACTGAGTTCTTATACGGATGTCCAAGTTTCAGATAGTGGAATAATAAACGGCAGTTAAATACTTTCTTTTATTACTGGCCATACTCTCCATTTATTGTGTAATTTGGTCATTTTAGAGCTAAAATATGGGCCACAAAGTAGATGAAAGATTAATGCAATGATGCCACATAATATTCCTCATGGTGATATAATTCCACTATACTACCTATTGGTATACTGATGTTTTTTCAGGCAACGTTCTATAAAGTTATCACCAGTGATAGGTTGCCAGTGGTAGAAAATCCTCCGAAAGCATCAGGGTCGACCGATTCAGCCGGCAGCGTTTCTGTGGCTTTGCAACAAAGCAGCTTAGCAATCTCTTGATCAATAATTAGAGATGAACCGATCCGACATTGATATCTTAATTGGGCCCCATATTGAAAAAAATTGAGTATTAGAGACAATGTGGCTGATCCATACGGGCAAATCTATTCAGTATAATTTCTATGCTTTGTACTTTGAGCAATGTTTACTAAATCTCAGATATTTGTACCGATATCTTAAATGAGAAAAGTGCTTTGGCGCTTCCCGACAAATAATACCACATTGCTGGTACTTGTGTTTGATTGCAACAGTTTGGATTCAATTGCTCTTAAGCTGTACTTCCTTTTCTTCCAGACACACATTGCAGAAAAACTGACCAAACAATTATTTTCACAATCTATTCGAGCAACGACTCCCGATCTGGATCAGTCCAAACCAAGACTGCCCTACTCCATGAACTGCATAAAAATCGATGGGGTTTGGAAAATAAACCAGAGGAAAGTGAATGTGTGCAAATCCCGCAGATCCCTGCTTGAACCCCTAATTCTAATTTCTAAGTCTTGACTCCTGTCAGAATTAGAAACACCGCAGCTTCTGGTCGCTCTGTCCGGCTGCCAGCTTACAGAGTGCCAGATTATGCAGGGCGAGAGCACAGCACTAAGCCTTGGCCAGACAGTCTGCAGCTAACATGTAATCCCTCTACTGCTGCTGCTGCTGCTACTTCTGGGTCACACTGAGGCCCAGCTGGCTGCACTTCTTGCTTTTGACAAGCGATATCTGCCTCTTTCAAGATGAAATAAAGTTTCTGTCAGCAGAAAAAACAAAACAAAAACGCAGCTTGATCACTCGCCTGCAAATTCAGTCAAAGGAACGATTAAATCTACAAAGACAACAGCATTATAGGCACCATAAAGCATAGAATGGATCTGGATGTTGTGTTTTTTTTTTTCCGTTTGCTTGTTGTTGTTTCTTTTTTTACTGCTGCCTCCATCTATTTCATAATTAAAATGCGCACCCCCACCCCACCCGCAGTCTTACATAACTTTGCGACAACAAACTCAAAGCTCTTTACTCTTGCTAAAGCCGAGGCCTCAGTGCTATCAGTGAAGCGCTGCGGAGTCTGGAGCAGCAAAGGAGAGTCTCAGAACCATGCAGCTCTGTCATGCAGACAAGCACGGCAGTATGAGGCTGCGTTGTTTACGCACCGCAAACCTCAACAGGCTATATATACGCATACATATCGAAAGTTTCAACACGGCTGCAGCTTCACGTTTTGTCACTGTATTCTGTTGGGATTTTTCTGCGACAGAGCAGCACTTTGGCAGCAGATGTTTGTGAAGTGGAAGAAAAGATATATCTGAAAAATCTCAGAAAAAATGCAGCCGCGGTTGCTTTTGGGTGATGTGTCTAATCTGTTTGAAGGTACAGAGACAGAAATTTCTTCTTTATTAAGCAGCTGACTGGGCTTTGACTGGGTCATGCTAACACATTAAAAACTCTTTGACCTAAACGAGTATTTTGTTTTTGTGGCTGGTTGCTTAGGGTTTAGGGCAACTTCCTTTGAATGATGGTTGTCTTTTTGCCAGTCTTCTTTCAGAAAGGCCAGATGTAAGGAGTGAATAACTAATAATTATAGTCTTTAACCAACCAAAAGAACATACAAGCATGCTTTCATTCATCTTTGTATTCATTCTGAGATGAACTTGTAAATAGGAGGACTCTAATTTTGCTCTTAACGATTCACAGATGTAAAAATTTGGGTTAATATCGACGTCCGATATCACTGTTTCTTCAAAGGCCGATGACTGGCATTTCCTCTATACATGCTTCCCAAGCCTTTTGGCACCATTAAAAAAAAATGCATACACCACTCACATTATTACTTTGGTTAAATGCCCCACGGTTCTGCAACTCGTCACGTCCGTATCGTTCTCACATTGTCGCACAAAAACCACAGGGCCGATCTCCTGCTTTCCCCCTCGTGAAACATACACACAAATGCCTACAAGATGGAAATAATCACTGGTTATTGAAATCGGTTCGGTTTCACTCGTGGGGCAAACGTGTTAAAAATCGTTCGACAGTAGGGATGCATCGGCTGCAGGGGTCTGGAAGATTGCTGATCTTTAAAAAGGCTAACCTGACTTCTTTTTCTTTCTTTTTTTTTTTTTTGTCGAAAACTTGCCGAATATAGCAACAAAGTTGCTAAGTTGGCAACAGGAGAGTGGCTATCGTTCACCACGCATGACTAACTTGCTAACATGACTGGCGAGGGGGTTTATCATTCTGTCCTCTTATGGCAGAGCAAAAGGCAACAGTGTCTGGTTGCCAGACCTTTGCAGAGGTAAATACAATCGATGGACGAGATTGGTTTCTCATGTAAGTATCGTCCGAGCGCCGATTTATCGGTTTACGCCGATGTTGATGCAGAATGCATTGTGCATCCCTACGCCCTGTGAGTTGGTCGGACTCCCAGGGCGTGATGATGTTGGCTACACACCAAATATCTATAATAATTTTGACTACTGGTGACTGTATTGTTTGTAAGCAATCCCTATTTTCCCCTTACACTTCCCTTCTTCTCCACCAACACAATGTTTGTGATGATGATGCTATATGATGATTTAGTCTATACTCTAAAAACCCCTATGCAATACATTCATTTCAATCTGACAAAGACGAAAAACTTAAAGTCAACTCTATGGTGTTGCATGGTAGTCATTTAGCTCTGGCCTATTTCTTCTTTTAGTGGTTTTCAAAATAAATTTAAACAAATATTCATAGTACAAATCTAAAATTTTGCACCCATTAAGTATTTATTAGTAGTTAGGCTTGTATATTCAAATGAATTTATTTAATTCACAATTTTCTTTTTTTTTCCCCCTTTCACCTTGATTTAGCCAAAGACATGAGAAAGTGCAGTGGATATTTCCCGTCAGTCACTCAGGACTCTCTTCTCTCCGACAGACAGAAAGGCAGGCAGGCAGCCGTCCACCGAGCCGATAAAGACACAATGGAGTGAGTGTTGCTTTCAGGCCCCGGCCCTCTTCTGCTGTCCATTTTACAGATCCCTGCTTTTGTTGTGGTAGAGCATGAACACACCGTTTGGGATGTGAGAATATGTTTCCTGCGTGGGAGCCGTCTTATTTTGGCACTTTAGAATTATTGAGCACATTTTTACACACTGAAACTTCGTGGCCAAGTTTTGAACTAGTATTAGAAGTTTGATGTTTATCAGCTGGCTGTTAGCTAAGCTTGGTTTTCATATTTATTCAGCTCACCACAAGGGGGAGATCTTTTACCCTTAGGGGTTCTAATGTGCAAATGACAGATTTGATCAACAACAGTCTGCCTTTTATCTGCCTCTCCCAGCTGGTCGCCGTCCTCCACCTCCAGCTCCATGGCGAGCAGCAACGTGACCAACAAGAACGACCCCCGCTCCCTGAACTCCCGAGTCTTCATCGGCAACCTCAACACCTTGCTGGTCACCAAGGCCGACGTGGAGGCCATCTTCTCCAAGTACGGCAAGATCGTGGGCTGCTCCATCCACAAGGGTTACGCCTTCGTGCAGTACTCCAACGAGAGGAACGCCAGGGCCGCCGTGTCTGGGGAGGACGGCCGGATGATCGTCGGGCAGGTGTTAGGTAAGGGCGACTGACCATCAACTCTAGTTGGCAAGAGTTGGTATATTTTACGTCAGAACACCTAAATCAATTGCTTAATCATGTTTTATTAATCTCTGTGGAGACTTGATAATTTTCCATCCATCTTATCCAGGTGTGTTAAACTTATAAAAGACAGAAAACATGGAAGACAAGAACCTTTGACTGACATTGAGAGGTTTTTCCAAAGGCTGCTTTATTTCTTGTAAAAAATAAAGATGATGCAAAAAAAACAAAAAAACTACTGAAATACTTAAATCACAAGGAACCAAATAAAATGTTAAATTTTAACCAGGTAGATGGAGCTTAGATGTTCTCCCAGTGAATATGTGGATCTTCTCTGGGTACTCCCTTACATTAGGTCACTTGGTTCATCTAAATTGCCCGTAGCTATGAGCGTGTGCGTGTACTGTCCTTTGACAAATTGACCGCCTGTCCTACTTCTAACATTGACACGGCTGGAACTCAAAGGACGTCAGTGACAGTTTTAAACAAGGCCAATGTGACTCACTACCTCAGACTTGCAGATACATGTCTTAGCCTCAGTTGCCAGATGCATATAGAAGCAAATAGCAATTTTTCACTTTCTTTGTGTCGTGCCACGGGCTAATCAAGAAGATTAAAATAGAAGTTAGTAATATTGTTATACACTTGTGATCAAATTCACATTTGGATTGTAAAAAAGAAAAAAAACACTCTTTCCTCAAAACTTCAGTGTTCTCCTTCCCGCAGACATCAACCTGGCAGGCGAGCCAAAGCCTCGCCGATCGAAGACGGTGAAACGATCAGCGGGAGACATGTACAGGTTTGCATCCCTGCCACTCAGTTTCCCTAGTAACAACACAGCAATGTATGATTACATCTGAAATGTTTAATTTAAGGGGTGTGAATTGTGCTGCTGTTTTCTTCTCTGCAGTTCATCTTTTGAATTGGATTATGATTTCCAAAGAGATTACTATGACAGGTAACACGTTTATTTTTGCTATCGAGGACTAAATGTTCACGTTTATATCTACCCCGTCTTCAACCATTTGCTGTCCAAAAGTAGTACTTTTTTTCCATCTTTACCCTAAACTTAATAAAGTACTGTTCAATTGGTTGAATGAGAACGTCGAAGCTTATTTGATGCAACATCGTCTTCCATGACCTTCAGAATGTACCCCTACCAGTCTCGGGCGCCTCCTCCTGCCCCGCCTCCTCTGACGCGTGCCGCGGTCCCGTCCAAGCGCCTCAGGGTGAGTCTGAACAGCGGGGGAAGCCGAAGGAGCAAGACCGCCTTCTCCACGATCTCCTCCAAGAGCAGCCAGAGGACCTCCCGCACAAGTAGGTCCTAACAGATACACAAAGTGGTCAGAGTTTCTACCTGGGAGCAGCCTGGTTCTCCATTTGAACCAGATTTTCTGACCATCAGTAGAAAAGCTCGATGGTGTAAGGTAATGCAGTGCCAAAGTAGACTTTGGCCAATGTCACGTGACTACAACTGCAGAAGTCATTTCCCTTTACCTACATTTGATCGCTAGCCTTAAATGTTGATTGTTTGGAAACCTGAAATCCTGCCACACATTTCTTAAAAGTGTCCAAAACCCCAATGGCACCCTGATATTTCCTCAAATGCCGAACTGAACTTGGGGTTTATACCGATCAGCGATTGTCTTAAATGCCCCAAGATTGCACAGGACGGTCATTTTGGGAGACTTTAATGTGTATCCACACACATATCAATTGTTGTTTTTCCCACAGTGAGGACGGACGATTTACAGACCATCAAGAGAGAGCTGACGCAGATTAAGCACAAGGTGGACTACCTGCTGGACAGCTTGGAGCACATGGAGAAGGACCACAGTAAGAAGTCGGGTAGGCCTGCAGGTTCATGTTACTGATAAACTGACGGCATCAACCTTCCCAGAAATGTCATTTGTTTGACCAAAAACCATAAGGTGTCCCATGCACAGTTCACTGCTAGCTTATATTTCTGAGTTTTTGAACTCTGTTCTGTTTTTCTTCCTGTGAATCCCACTTGAATGCAGGGGTGGCTTGATGATATGTGGTAGTTTTTAATGAAGTGAATGAAGAATCTTCAAGTCTTCTCATAGTTTCTCAATCAGATTTAGGTCTAAAGTTTTACTAGACCGTTCTAAGACATGAACATGCATTGCTCACAATAACTCTGGCTGTACGTGTAGTGTGACTTTCCTGTTGGAAGGCGCATCTCCTCTCTAGTGTCAAGTCTTCTTTCAGGACTCCTCTGTATATATTTCCTCCCCCTGACCAAGCTTGCTTAGACTGAAGAAAGTCATCCACCTTCTTTTGGATCCATTTTTGTCCTTTTCACACAGAGATTAAAAGCTCCAAGCCAGAACCCGGCGAGGTGTCTCCGCTCCACTCATCTACTTCCAGCAAGAAGGAGGGCGCCCTGAAGAGAGCCAGAGGGAGCCAGGAGGTGAACGACTCGGAGGAGGACGGAGATCTGCTGGAGGACGAGGTGAACGCAAGCAGCAGAAGCAGCTCTTCCACGGCATTTTTATAGCTCCGTTTTCCTTGAAAAACCCTCCTTTAAAAACCCTCCCCGCGGCCAAACAAAAAACTTTGTAATAACGCCAGTTCTCTTCTTCTTCTCCTTCTCCTCTGTTGCGTTGCACTCTATCTCTTTTTTTTCTGCTTCTCTTTGCAGATGAAAAGCAGAGGGCGAGACGAGGATGACGACGAACAGGAGGAGGGGGAGGACGACGGCGACAGCACCAACGGAGACGAGTCCTGAACGGGCCACGGAGAGGACACACACACACACACACACACACACACACACACACACACACACACACAGCACCTGAACCCGAACGTGTGTTAACCTTTCTCCACACCACAGTTACCTGCTCGTTTCTGCCAAAGTGGTAGAATGTTTCGCACAGCTTTGACTTCCTACAGATTAGAAGTGAATTCCTCTTTTTATTTCTTCTTCTTTTTTTACTATGTTTCATGTGTTTCCTCTGAACGGCCCTCTGCTGCTAGTAGACAAGTGACTTTCTCCCTGACCCAATCTACCGGCACTGTGCTGTTCTGTGCGACTTCTTCATCGCTGAGAGATTTTAAGATTTACTGCACAACAAAAAGAACTGATCACTAGTTTTTTTCTTTTTTTTCTCCACCTAAAATATGTTTTCTTGTTCTGTTTTCCTGGTTCTGTTTTGTTAGTTGATTATTTTAACGTTGTTTTTTTTTTTTTTTTTTTTTTGAGGGTTGACTTGAACAAAATGATCTAAAATTGCTGCAGCCATACTGCTAAATCCTTCAAAAATGAAAAAAAACCAAAACAAAACAACCCCAAACTGCCAATCCTGCTGCAACGCTGCATCCCAACCAGCAGGTGGCAGCGTGCGCCAACTACAAGAGGATGATGACCTGTTTGTGTTCCTCAGACAATCACTCCCCATTTCTCGCAAATTCCATTGGTTTAAAATGTTTTTTAACCGGAGCCGACCTCGGTTCAACTCTGTCAGCCTCCATGTTCCTTCTTGACTTCACAGGCAAATAAACGTGTTGAAGTTTTAATCCCGCTCTGATTTGTTTCCGTTGTGTTCTATCGTTGGGGCCTCACTTCTTTGAAAAACACAGAACATGAGCGTAAACAGCAGGGATGTCCCGATACCATCCCAGGAAATCGCCTCGGGGTTCAGTCCCAGCAGCTTTAGAAGATCAGGACGCACTCCTGCTTAGTCCACTTTAATCAAAATCCATTTTCTTGTTTTGTGTTTTGACTAAGACTGTTTAGAAATGCAACATAAGACGAAATATTTAGGAGAGGCCTTTTCAGGACGTAGCGGTTTAAAAAAAAAAACAAGATAAGCTCGCTAAATAAATGCACTGAAGTAAAAGCTTTTAGCCATTTTATAAAGTTTGACAGCAGCTTGGTCACACAGCAAATGGACACGGAAAAGGTGAACATTTTGAAGTGGTAAATATAGTTCACGCACCTCCCCAGATCTGTCTGCTTCCATCTTTCATAACGAGGAGTATAATTTTGGGAGCAGCACTTCCTGAGTTGGAAACAACAGGGATAAAGTTGCATAGGACCCAGTTTGTAGGCTGCGGACCACAACTTCACTCCTGCATATATTTATACACATTCTGGCCGGCGTACGCGCACTGAATTGTGAATTATGCATCGCAGTGGAGCGCAGGATTCAGCTTCGGCTTTTATTCAGCCTTTTACAATGAGCAATTGTCAGAAAACGTCCAGCATTTTAACACATTTTACCCTCCTGCCTAATAAACGCCTCCTTACAGCTACGCAATATGCTGCCAGAAATCTTTGGAGGAACTCGGAACTTGGCGAGAGAAGAAGGAGAGGGAGGGGAGAAAAAAAATCAAGGAGGGATGCAAAAAGGCGAGAGCTAAGTCGACGAGAAGCGCTCTTCTCGCAGGGTGAACTGTGATTAAGAGGGGAAGGGGAGAGAATGAAATCAGGGATGAACAGGCCACAGAGGAGCAGGGACAGATGGAGGGCCAGCCAACAGATGGAGAGAAGGCAGAAAGAGCGGAAAAGATTTCTGGCCGCGCGCTCGGGGGGGGAAGAAGCTGAAGAATGTGGAAATGGTGTAACAGTTGGAGCGAACCCTCGCAGGGATGAGGCCTCTGTTTGCTACACTGCTGGATGCTCTTTCCCTGCACAGCCAACCTGACGAAACAGGGATATTTACAACAGTCTGGAACCATTGAACATCTTTTAAAAGAAGCAGTGTCATGTAAAATCGACTTTTTTTTTATAGCTTGGAATCGTTCTGTGACGTCATCCTTTCATCAGAAACTCCACATGCATGGAGTGTTAACAGCCTCGGTTCTTTCACGCATGTTTTGAGAAATCATTTAATCTCCATTGCAAGCGTTCAGCTCTGCAGAACGCCCTGGGCGGACCGAGCCCCGCCTTCGACGACGCAGCTCAATGCGGTTTCCAAGTTTCGGCGCTTCCGCCTCACAGAGCCTCTCTGCCCCGCGGCTCCTCCACTCAGCCCCTTCAGACTAGCCGGCGACGATCGGCAAACATCTGCTGAGCTCATCATGCGAGCTACTTCTCAGGGAAACGCTGGCAAGAACGTTGTTAAAGGGTTAATGGAAGAACGACGTTGCGATGACTTCCCTGAGGTTTCAGAAAGAGCAGTTTGGGGTTTTTTTTTGAAAGCGACAAGAGGCCCAATTTCATGGCGTCAAATTACAAAGTAAAATTTCTTTCAAGTCGAAGAGATGTTGCAAACTGGGCGACGCCTCTTCTCTCGTAGCAGTCGGCTCGTCCTGGTACCACGACGGGGAGGGGTACCAGGTGGCTTAGTCAAAGTATTAACGGTTATAGCTCATTTGGTTGTGACAGCTGAGCCCACTGTAAGCATCCTGGCTCAGCTGGCGCACATCAAAGTGGCCAAGCCATTAATGAAGCTATTAGTAACACCAGAGAAAGTCAAATATTCCTAATAGCCTTCTCAGGACGCTTCCCGCTGGGCTGCATTCAGACACCTGCGGCGAGAGTGAAGTGTGCTTATTAAAGCCACTGCAGACGAGCCGCATCAATAGAAAGTGTATCTGTTGGCGTCGTCTGTTTCTGAGGGGCGTACGCATGAAAACGATATGCACTTTATATAAACGGTACGGGAGCAACACAAGGAACGAATAAAATCGCAGCTTCTTTTCCAGCCTGTGTGTGATTATATTTTGCATGCTTGTTTTAAATTGGGTTTTACTAATTTGCAATACTGCAAATGTATTCTTGCATAGTCGAATGACTGTGAAGCGGTCGTTAGAATCGTTTGGGTCTGTGTTTCATTTGGGTGTTTTGTAGTGAAAACCGTCTTCTGGAGATTATTTTACCTTTGTGCGCTGCGCTCTTGAACAAAGTGTAGAGTTTGCTTCACATGCCGGCGGTTCGAAACGCTAAAAGGAAGAAACAGGAGCTGGAGACCAAAAGAAAAAAATAATAATAATAAAAAAATGACTCACAAGTGCATTTAAAACAACAACAAAAAAAAAAAACACACAGGCGCTCCCTCACAGCTGCTTTTGCAAGCTGGTGCTCAGAGAAAGAATGCACAGCAAGCATAGTGTGATTTATGCCACAGCAGTACACAAAACTGACATCTGCGCTTCCCTGAAGTGCCGGGTTCCCATGATGGGAGCGAGATCCGCGTTACAGAACTGAGCAAATTCCTCAGCTTTGGAGGAAAATGGATCCAACATGGTTTTGAGGAAAGCAGAGACACCAGGGCGGTACTGGATGACTGATTATCAATACTCTGCGAGATAACGAATAAAGTCGTTCACCAAAAGGTCAAACCGTTTCCTGAACGGTTGAGCATTGATTTGGTGACTTGTAGGTGACGGGGGGCCATGTGAAGGTCGTGTTGATAATGGACTGATGGAAGCATCCGCATAAACGCCGACTGCAGGATGACGCAGAGAGTCGCGCGGTGAAACTGCGAGTTTGAATTGAGGTGAGAAACACGGAGGGTTGCAACCCAAACATGGTGGACGTGTAGCAGCCTCCCAGGTGGGCGGAAACCGATGTAAAGAGAGGGGAGCGGATGAAAGCGTGGCTTTCCCCTGAGCTGCTGCAAGGTCACCGTGGCGATGGGAAGAGGGGGAAGGGAACGAGCGAAGGGATGTGGAAGAGAGGAGCGTTGCGAGGCTGCAGAATGGTCGAGAAACAGAGGGAGGGAGGAGAGCAGGAGGTGTGCAGAGCCCCCAAAACCCCCAAGGGTGATTTATTGGCTCTGCTGGGAACTCTCGCAGTGAAAGTCTACGCATGTGACAGAAATCTGAGAAATAAGGGGGGCTCGGAACAAAAGCAAAGCATAATGTCAGAGGCAGGAAAGTAGCAGAGCGTGTGTGAAAGAAGGCTAGGAAAACAGTGAAACCTGAGTTACACATCAGGGGGGAAGAGAAGGGTAATCCCAGAGGTGGATATCTGCTTAGTTTCAAAGCAAACAGTCGACGCTGCATGTTTGTAGAGAAACTGCGCCGTGTTGGATCCCGGTTCACGTTGGTTAAAAAACGTGCAAACCGAGTCCAATCGGGTGGAGAACGTCTGAACAATAATGTATCGCCTCAGATTCTGCAACTGGATCTGTATCTAGACTTTAACTGGGACATTCGAACACGAGTCCGATTGTGGATTTGTCTTTATTTTAGGGTCGAATCTTCATGCCAGCCTCAAATGTTTCACAACCTCAAACAGTTCTTCTTTTCTTTTTGCAGAAAAAGAAATGTATTCAGCACTCCATCGTTCCTTGAGGAAGAAATGAATCCCTACAGCATAATGGTGCCACCGCCATGTTCCACCCAGAGTTGCTGGGGCGAACATGAAAACGAGAAAGAAACGGGGCGTCCACCAAACACAAAGCGGACAGAGAGGAAGAAGAAAAGGAGGAAGGTGAGACAGAGGAGCAGCAGCTGCTTTCGGTCTCACGTTTCTCGGTGGGGGATGTGCAGGGAAGGAGGAAGTCGGCTTGTCTTCCTCCTCTCCGACTCTCTCGGTCTTTGCGACCGCTCAAACATGCAAGAGCATCTTTTACAGCTGTCACTTCCTGCGGCCTGATTCTCAGTCTCGTCAACCTTATGCTGCTAAGTTTACCGTCCTCTCCATTGCGTCTCATCGCTCTCACTTCCTCTCATCTCTCCCGTCTTATTTCTCCCTGCGGGGCGATTGGAGAATGATCCGACTGTGTGTGTGGATTAGGTGTGACCCTGGAGGTGCTTTCTCTCAGAGTCGATCTGCTCGGTACAGAGAAATCTGATGACACACTGTAACCCGATCATACACACAAGTGGCTTTAACGCTGGATGAGCGTCATGTTGTCATTTCAAAATTCTCTGCTCCAGGCGTTATTAGCGTCTCACAGGAACAGCGCGGGCTGCTCTCACAGCTGGTAGTCTGGTGGACTCAGTTTGACAGAACGGACGCATTTGTTGCGTTTTCACAAGGTGCGGTTTGCTTTCACGTTGCACTGTGTCAAGTGAATCGAGTGCTTTGAAAAACCTGTTTCACCCCCTCACCTGTGGAGGCGCTGCACCGAGGACTGCTGAAGGAAACAGCGAGCGCAACTTCCTTCCCCGCGAAACGTCACCAAAAATGTCGATTTCTGTAGGATTTCTCTTTTGAACCAACCAAATAAAATGAAATAAATAAATCACGTTCCCCCCGCGAGCGCCCTGCAAAAATGTTTGTTGGGGAGCAGTCTCCGGTCCCAGAGTTCACTTCGACTGAACCGAGGCTTAGGTTTTTAGTCGGAACAGATTTCCCTTTTATGGACCACAGTTTGATTGCGCTTTCACTCCTGCCCACGTGAACTGCGCTTCCTAGGCAAAGGAACTGGTCTGATTTAAGTGGACTAAACACGGCTGGTGTGAATGCAGTCACGGACCGGTGCTTGATGAGAGGAGTTTGAGACTGTGGCTTTGACCAGTTCTTCCCCAGGAAGGCCACGCCATTTGATCAGTTGATGAGACGGCGAGATGCTAATTCTTGTGGCTGTAGCGTGACAAAATGCTCAAAGGCTCGAGAGCTG